TGGTGAGACTCACCAAAAGGACAAGTGCCGCATTTGCAAGGGTTTCCGCCCAAGAACCCTTAAGGACAGAGAGCAGAGACTAAAACTCCTGCTCATGGAGGCGGCTCTGAGACCGCATTCCTACCCGAGACCCAACGACCCAGCTCCGAGCACGTTCTCTTTGGTGCGCAGCACTCCAGTGCCAACGGTGCGTGAAACGGGCCCGGCTAAGGACACTAAAGCCCACCGGCACCGCCGCTACTCAGGCCATAGGGCGTCAGCCTCAGTTCGGCACTGTTCTCCATCTCCAGTGCCGGTAAAGAAGAAGAGGTCGGTGAAGGGACCGATCACCCCCCTTGAAACCACACTCCTCCGATAGGGAGCGCAGGCTGCACTCACTGGAATTGCGTAGGGCCTTAGCCTTCTACACAGAGAGAACTAAGTCATTCTGGAAGTTGGTCCAACTCTTTGTAGCCGTGGCAGACAGAATGAAGGGCCTCCCGGTATCCTCTCAACGCATATCGTCATGGATAACATCCTGCATTAGGGAGTGCTATACTGTGGCAAAGGATAACCGCTCCACGGATAACCGCTCACTCTACCAGGGCCCAGGCCTCCTCTGCGGCATTCCTGGCACAAGTACCTATTCAGGAAATTTGCAGGGCAGCCCCATGGTCCTCGATACATACATTTACGTCGCACTATGCAATTACACAACAGTCCAGGGATGATGCGGCTTTTGGGCGAGCTGTGTTCTTTTCTGTGGATAACTCTGACCCCACCTCCTGAGCTCTAGCTTGTGAATCACCTGCTTGGAATGGATATGAACAATCCCTCAAAGAAGAAAAAATGGTTACTCGCTTTCTCATAACTGTTCTTCGAGATGTGGAGTTCATGTCCATTCCAATACGCACCCTCCTACCCCTCTGTCGGAATAGTTGGCAAGAAGGAACTGAGGGGTTGGGGGGTCGGCGGGGCCCAATATTGGGCGCCGTGAAGGCACCACTCCAGGGGGCGCCCAGGCCAACCCTACGGACGCTGCTAGGGGAAAAATCTTCTGACTGGCATGCACACAGCGCGCACACACCTGCTTGGAATGGACATGAACAACACCTCTTGAAGAACAACAGTTACGAGAAAGTGAGTAACCTTTTTTTACCCAGTCTGGCAACCTATCACTACAGACAGATGGGTGCTGGAGATAATTGAAGTTGGATACTCCATACCCACCCATTCTTCCCGTCCCTCTTCCCTCTCATGAAGATCTATTGCATCAGGAGGTAACCCAGCTCATCTGGCTACGAGCAGTATAACTGGTACCAACAAAATACAAAGAGATGGGTTTCTGCTCTAATTACTATCTCACACACACAAAAAACCACAGGAGGATGGAGACCCATTTTCGATCTCCGATGGCTCAACAAATTTGTCAGAATCAACACTTCAAGATGGTGACGCTGGCTACCATTATCCCAGAGTAGAAAGAGGGCCTGGCTCTCGACCCTCGATGTCCAAGAAGCATACTTTCACATAATGATTCACCCATGACATCAGAAGTTTCTCTGATTCACTCTCAGACCAGATCACTTCCAATACTAGGTCCTGTCCTTTGGTCTTCCCATTGCTCCCCGAGTTTTCTCAAAGGTACTCGCGGTAGTTGCTGCGCACCTCTGCAAGAGAGGAATCGTGATATTTCCATATCTGGATGATTGCCTACCATAAGAAGCAAATTGACCAGCATCAATGGAGGCTACTCAACAACGAGTAGGCCTCTTTACGCAATTAGGTCTCCAAAAAAAAACAAAAGTCAACCCTCACACCAGTATCGGAACTGGAATTCATTGGGGCTTACCTCAGAACTCCCGAGGCAACACATCTTTACCAAGGCAACACTTCCTAACTCTAATGAATCTGATTGCCACATCACTCAACAGCTTCCAGGTAACAGCCAGGACTTGTTTGCAATTACTGGGTCACGTGGCCGCATCGACTTTCGTCGCTCAACACACGAGGTTACATATGCGAACCCTACAAGCTTAGCTCCGTACAACTTGTTGCCCACCAAGGCACAGTATAAACAAACAATGCCAAGCAAAGTAAACGACTCTATCTTGGTGGACGCAACCGCACAACGTATGCCTGACAGTGCCTTTCACCCAAGCCCCTTCTACATTGACTATTACAGTGGATGCGTCCGTCATAGCTTGGGGAGCACATTTGAACTCACATTCTGCTCAGGGTTGTTGGTCCCCAACAGAAGCTTGGCGTCACATAAATCTGCTAGAACTCAGAGGTGTTCGCAATGCATGTACCACCTTCCTACTCATGATCAGAAACGAGACCATACAAATTCTCATGGACAATTTGTCATGCATGTTCTACATAGACAAAGGGGGGTTCACGTTCACACTCCCTGTGTGCAGAGGCCAGGCGACTTTGGCACTGGTGCATCCAGGACAACATCCATATTATAGCAGCGTACCGGCCCAGATGTCAAAACACTACGGCAGATGCACTCAGCAAGAACTTTTCTCAGGACCACGAGTGGGAACTCGACACCAGGGTTCTCCACAACATAGTCAAACAATGGGGATTCCCCACAGTAGACCTCTTTGCAATGGAGCACAGCACTAAGTGCCCATTGTTTTGCTCCAGGGCAGGCATGGACCATCACTCCTTAGGAGACGCGTTTCTTATCAAATGGAGGAGCTCCCCACCTATATTCCTCCTTCCCCCATTCCCTTTATGGCACTAGTGCCTCACAAGATCAAAGCAGACAAGTCCACTGTAATACTGATACCCCCTGCATGGCCTCATCAAACATCGTTCTCTACATTCTCAGATTGTCAGTGTGCAGACCTCTAACCCTTCCTCTCCTACCTCGTCTCCAGTCCCAGGACTCAGGACAAACTCTGCATTTGAACCTGGAGACACTCAGCCTGAAAGGGTGATTGCTCCATGGCTCCAGGGACCTGAAATGAAATGCTCCAAAGAAGTACAGAACATTTTATTAAATAGTCGCTGACCGACTACCCACCACACATACCTACACAAATGGAGACACTTTGATTCCTGGTGTCACACAAAGCAGACCACATCAGTATCTGCCCCTTTACCTTTGATTCTGGATTACCTGCTTGAACTTGAGATCAGACCTATCTGTTAGCTCAATCAGGGTACATCTCTCAGTCATAGCAGCTTTCCACCATAAGATACCACCAAATGTTTTCTGAAAGGCCTCAACACTTCGACACCGCCATGGGACCTCAACTTAGTTCTCCAAAACATCAGCAGATACCCAATTCGAGCCACTAGCCACTTGCTCACTTCTCCACCTGTCAATGAAGGTGGCCTTTCTAGTTGCCATTACATCTGCACGATGAGTGGGGGAACTAGGGGCACTCATGGCTGATCCATCCTACACAGCATTTCCAAAGACAGAATCACTCTCAGACCGCATCCCAAGTTCTTACCTAAGGTCGCCTCCTCATTCCACCTCAACTGACCCATCTGCTTATCAGCGTTCTATCCTAAGCCACATAAGGATAGGCGAGAATCCACACTTCACACCCTCAGTGTTCGCAGGGCCCTGGCTTTTTACACAGATCAAACAAGGTCATTCCGTAAATCCCCGAAATTATTCGTTTGTCATGGAATGATCAAAAGGAGATGCCATATCCAAACAGAGGCTCTCCAAATGGATTTCATAATGCATCAAACTGTGTTACCAGCCACAGAACTTGCAACCCCCTATGGGGATTTGCATGCGTTTCACCAGGGCAATGTCGACTTGAATAGCTTTTCTGAACAGTGTTCCCACTGTGGACCTATGTAGACCTGTGACATGGGCCTCTACCCATACATTTATGCAGCACTATGCATTAGAGCAGCATGTAACATCTGATGCATTATTTAGACTCACCGAATTGTCCTCTGCCACAACGTCAACTCCAAAGCCCCTCCCTTCCACTGGAGGGTACTGCTCTGAAGTTACCTAAAGTGGAGCACCCACAGGGACATCTCTTGAAGGAGAGGGTTACTCACTTTGTGCAGTAACTGAGGTTCTTCGAGATGTGTGTCCCCATGGGTGCTCCACTACCCTCCCTCTGCCCCTCTACTTCAGAGTTTCACACTCATGCTCTGCAGTAGACAAGGAACAGAGGGGAGGTTGCTCTCACAGCGCCAATTAGCTGCTTGATGCAGCGCGAGACAGGGACTGCGCATGTGCGACCCAACCAGGCACTGCTATCACAAATCTCCGATTACAAGCACAGGGGCACTCAAACACTTAAAATGCAGCACCCACTGCGGGACACATCTCGAAGAACCTCAGTTATTGCACAAGGTGAGTAACCCTCTCATCCTAATTTAGATTGCATCTTCTTGGGACAGTGATCTATCTCTATATGTTCAGTGAAGTACACTTCTTGGATGTGGTAAACTAGGTGAAATAGGAAGATTACAGGCAGTCTCAGAATAAAGTGGAAGATATACATGTATGAACTCATCTGTTGTAGGGAGTAGCTCTATAGTATGTAATAGGGCCAAACATTCAGTGGGACTACAGGTAATTAAGTCAGCATTCGGTCCAAAATGTCCACCATCAACTATAAATTTTCAGCAAGTGATATTATGTACAATTCTGTGTTAACATAAGAACATAAGAATGGCCATACTGGGTCAGACCAAAGGTCCATCCAGCCCAGTATCCTGTCTACCAACAGTGGCCAATGCCAGGTGCCCCAGAGGGAGTGAACCTAACAGGTAATGATCTAGTGTTCTCTCTCCTGCCATCCATCTCCACCCTCTGACAAACAGAGGCTAGGGACACCACTCCTTACACATCCATCTAATAGCCATTAATGTTACCTTTAGTTTTCAACCACTGATGAGTTTAAGTTGCTGACAAGAGAATTTTGTGTTGTTTTATGCTTCATCAGTTAGTTACGAGTTTAGATAGCAGATCTAAGGATTTAGTTTGTTCATATATATATAACCCTGATCTTTTACACACATTTCAGGTATTGTTGAAGAGTACCAGCTGCCATATTATGACATGGTGCCGAATGATCCATCTTATGAAGATATGAGAGAGGTGGTGTGCGTCAAGCGCCTACGCCCAGTGGTATCTAACAGATGGAATAGCGATGAAGTAAGTACGTCGAAAGGGAGAAATGGGAGGAGTTCAGCTTTAACCCCAATATGTAATAAGGGTATTTTAGTCTTTCCCAAAAGTTTTCTGAAACTGAAGTAGAGTAGGCAACAAAATTAGACATTCTAATGTTTTGAGATATCTCTGACCACAATAAAAATACTAATGTGTGAGAACAACTAGTAGAGCTTTTACCTGCCTGATCTTTTTATGTACCCATCTGAATGGGAAGGAGAACTACCTCACCAGCAACCAACTGCATGGTCACATTCTCACCCCAAACCAGTCTAGAGCTAGGCCTTAGTATTTTCTTGTGTTTTTGAATGGAGCTACAATTTAACATGACATTGTAATGCAATTTATCACACTCAACCTCAGATACCTTTTTCTGTCATACTGGATATATCAGACACTTTCAACACTGGAATATGAGGTGATACTAATGTGTTTGTAGACCTAAGGAGAGGATGGTGTAGATCATTAGCGGCCCCATTACTTTTTCATGGAGAGATTTCATTGGTAGTACTGCACAGTTCTTGAGGCCCTGGTCTACACTGGTGGAGGGAATCGATCTAAGTTATGCAACTTCAGCTACATGAATAATGTAGCTGAAGTCGACGTACTTAGATCGACTTACCATGGTGAGTCGACTGCTGCTGCTCCCCCGTCGACTCTGCCTGTGCTTCTCACAGCGTTGGAGTACTGGAGTCGATGGGAGAGTGCTTGGGTGTCAATTTATCGCGTCTAGACTAGACACGATAAATCGATCCCTGCTGGATCGATTGCTGCCTGCCGATCCGGCGGGTAGTGAAAACATACCCCAGGTGTCCTCTGCATGTTCCCACTTATTGGATGCACTGACCGTTCAGCCTGACCAATAGAACTCGAGCTAGAAGTGTTTGTTAGCATGCTCATGTGCCTCCCTCATCTCTCAGCGGGGTCAGGGTTGGGGCTGCCGTCCTGCCCCACAGGGTCGGGGGTCCTGCATATGCAGCAAACGATAAATAAGTTGAGAACTACTGAGGTAGATCTATATACAGCTCTGATTACTTATATATTCTATCTTACTTCTTATTAGTGCTGTCAAGCGATTAAAAGAAGTCATCATGATTAATCACACGATTAAAAAAATTAAATGCCATTAATTGTGCTGTTAAACAGTGATAGAATACCATTTATTTAAATATTTTTGGATGTTTTCTACATTTTCAAATATATCGATTTCAATTACAGCACGGAATACAAAGTGTACCGTGCAAACTTTGTATTTATTTTTTATTATAAATGTTTACGCTGTAAAAAACAAAAGAAATAGTATTTTTCAATTCACCTAATACAAGTACTGTAGTGCAATCTCTTTATCATGAAAGTTAAACTTACAAATGTAGAATTATGTACAAAAAAAACCTGCATTCAAAAACAAAACAGTGTAAAACTTTAGAGCCTACACGTCCACTCAGTTCTACTTCTTGTTCAGCCAATCGCTTAGACAAACAAGTTTGTTTACATTTGCAGAAGATAATGCTGCCTGCTTCTTGTTTACAATGTCTCCTGAAAGTGAGAACAAGTATTTGCATGGTACTGTTGTAGCCGGCGTCACAAGATATTTACATGCCAGATGCGCTAAAGATTTTATATATCCCTTGATGCTTCAGTCACCATTCCAGAGGACATGCGTCCATGCTGATGACGGGTTCTGCTCGATAACAGTCCAAAGCAGTGCAAACCAATGCATTTTCATTTTCATCATCTGAGTCAGATGCCACCAACAGAAGGTTGATTTTCTTTTTTGGTGGTTCAGGTTCTGTAGTTTCCGCATCGGAGTGTTGCTCTTTTACGACTTCTGAAAGCATGCTCCACACATCGTCCCTCTCAGATTTTGGAAGACACTTCAGATTCTTAAACCTTGGCTTGAGTGCTGTAGCTATCTAGAAATTTCGCATTGGTATCTTCTTTGCATTTTGTCAAATTTGCTGTGAAAGTGTTCTTAAAACGAACAACATGTGCTGGGCCATCATCTGAAACTGCTATAATATGAAATATATGGCAGAATGCGGATAGAACAGAACAGGAGACATACAATTCTCCCCCAAGAAGTTCAGTCACAAATTTACTTAACGCATTATTTTTTAACGACCGTCTTCAGCATGGAAGCACGTCCTCTGGAACAATGGCTGACGCATGACGAGGCATATGAATCTTCAGCGCATCTGGCACGTAAATATCTTGCTACGCCAGCTACAACAGTGCCATGAGAACACCTGTTCTCACTTTCAGGTGTCATAATTAAGAAGTGGGCAGCATTATCTCCCGTAAATGTAAAGAACGTTGTTTTTCTTAGCGATTGGCTAAACAAGAAGTAGAAGTCGGTGGACTTGCAGGCTCTAAAGTTTTACATGGTTTTTGAGTGCCGTGATGTAACAAAAAAACCTACATTTGTAAGTTACACTATCATGATAAAGCGATTGCACTACAGTACTTGTATGAGGTGAATTGAAAAATACTATTTCTTTTGTTTATCCCTTTTACAGTGCAAATATTTGTAATAAAAAATAATATAAAGTGAGCATTACACTTTGTATTCTGTGTTGTAATTGAAATGGATATATTTGAAAATGTAGAAAAACATCCAAAATATTTAATAAATTCCAATTGATATTCTATTGTTTAACAGCATGACAAATCAAAAATGTTTTAATCGCGATTTTTTTAGTTAATTGCATGAATTAACTGCGATTAATCAACAGCCCTACTTATTATATCTTAAAAGAGTTGGTCTCTGTCACCAGTCAAGGTTCATCTTGCAGCAATTTCAGTTTACTATGTCCCTGTGGATAGTAAATTAGTTTTTACTCATGATATGAAGATTCTTGAAAGGTCTTAATAATCTATATCCACCAGTTAGATATCCTATACCATCTTTGAATTTAAACATAGTGCTTACACAGTTAATGAAACATTCATTTGAACTGTGAGAATCTGTACACTGTTCTCTTTATCTATTAAGACAGTCATCTTGATAGCTGTCTCTTCTGCAAGGTGCATAAGTGAATTACAAGTGATAATGCGTACCCACCATTTACTGTCTTTGATAAGGATAAAGGAATTCTCTGTACACACCCAAGATTCTTATATTTTACTATAAATCTGTTACCAGCTTTTTTCCCCGAACCTCACACTCAAGATGAGGAGGCTGGATTTCATGTGCTAGAAGTTAGAAGGGCTTTAGTTTTAATTTAATTAGAACTAAGCATTTTCAACAGTCTCCCAATTTCTTTATTTCTTATGAAAAGAGGAATAACGGGAGAGTGGTCACTGAACAAACTCTTTCAAGATGAGTTAGGCCAGGGGTCCCGAATGCAGTGCTCGCGAGCTCAATGCACCCGCCAGGGCAGTTGTGTGCACCCACAGGACACCGCGCTGCCAAAATGCTGCCACCGAGCGCTGTCGCCGGAGAACTGCCCGCCGAAATGCCACAGAGAAGCATTGCCGTTTCTCAGTGGCATTTAGGCGGCGATGCTTCTTGCTGCTGCCACGTCTCGGCGGCATTTCGGTGGTGGGGTGTCTGGTGCCTGCCACAGTCTTCTGGGAATAGGAATATGCTATTCCCACAGAAAGGTTGGGAACCACTGCGTTAGGCTATGTATTGACGTTTATAAGCTGATGAATTCCTGTCTTCCTGAAGGAATTAGAGCTCGTTGTACTAGATTAGAAGCAGTTTCTGTGGTATTCGCTCGACATATTCCTTAATAGAATCATAAAGAGTAACAATGTGGCGTACAATCCACACTTTTACTAGGAACTACTCATTATAGATTTAAAACCTAGATCAGATGCAAAATTTGGCAGTGCAGTTCTCGTTTTATTGGGATTCCATGTTCCCACCATCCTGGGTTAGAATTACCGCAGTTAAACTGTCCTGTAGGTGGGAATATGCAGATAGTCGAAGAAGAAAAGAAGGTTACTTACTTGTAACTGGAGTTGTTCGGCATGGACTCTCCATATTCACACAGTCTGCACACCTTTCCTCTCTGCCTTGGAGTCCTACTCTCAGAGGACCTGAAGTCATGGGAGGAGGACCTCAGGGAGCTGGCCACCATACCCGTTTTATATCCTTGCCATGGAAGGTTTAATGTTCACTGGTGGGAGCGCTGAGGGACAGGCATGAGCGCTCCAGAGAACACTGCTGGCTAGCGTTCTACTGTTCAGGCTGTGCTGGTCGGAGCATCCCATGAGTGGGAATATGCATAGTCCATCTCAAAGAACTCCAGATACAAGTAAGTAACCTTCATTTTCCTTTTTACTCAGAGAGATCTCAAATAGAGTATTATTTGGTTTTGCATTGTTCCTGTTATCATTGTGTACCTGAGATCATTAGGAGAATTAGTTTCAGAGTAGCAGCCATGTTAGTCTGTATCCGCAAAAAGAAAAGGAGTACTTGTGGCACTTTAGAGGCTAACAAATTTTTTTGAGTATAAGCTTTCGTGATGTTTGACTATGTAGACTCCCTCCTCAGGCCCTAGTCTACCAGCACTCCTAGCTATCTTCGAGACACCACTGATTTCCTGAGGAAACTACAATCCATCAGTGATCTTCCTGAAAACACCACCCTAGCCACTATGTATGTAGAAGCCCTCTACACCAACATTCCACACAAAGATGGACTACAAGTTGTCAGGAACAGTATCCCCAATAATGTCACGGCAAACCTGGTGGCTGAAGTTTGTGACTTTGTCCTCACCGATAACTATTTCACATTTGGGGACAATGTATACCTTCAAATCAGGAGCACTGCCATGGGTACCCGCAGGGCCCCACAGTATGCCAACATTTTTATGGCTGACTTAGAACAACGCTTCCTCAGCTGTCGTCCCCTAACGCCCCTACTCTACTTGCGCTACATTGATCTGCATCATCTGAGGCCATGGAAAAGAAGCCCTTGAGGAATTCCACCATCAGCCTCAGCCTGGACCAGTCCACACAAGAGATCCACTTCCTGGACACTACGGTGCTAATAAGCAATGGTTACATAAACACCACCCTATACCAGAAACCTACTGACTGCTATACTTACCTACATGCCTCCAGCTTTCATCCAGACCACACCACACGATCCATTGTCTACAGCCAAGCTCTATGATACAGCCGCATTTGCTCCAACCCCTCAGACAGAGACAAACACCTACAAGATCTCTATCAAGCGTTTTTACGACTATAATACCCACCTGCTGAAGTGAAGAAACAGATTGACAGAGCCAGAAGAGTACCCAGAAGTTACCTACTACAGGACAGGCCCAACAAGGAAAATAACAGAACACCACTAGCCATCACCTTCAGCCCCCAGCTAAAACCTCTCCAGCCCATCATCAAGGATCTACAACCTATCCTGAAGGACGACCCATCACTCTCACAGATCTTGGGAGACAGGCCAGTCCTTGCTTACAGACAGCCCCCCAACCTGAAACAAATACTCACCAGCAACCACACACCACACAACAAAACCACTAACCCAGGAACCTATCCTTGCAACAAAGCCCGTTGCCAACTGTGTCCACATATCTATTCAGGGGATACCATCATAGGGCCTAATCACATCAGCCACACTATCAGAGGCTCGTTCACCTGCACATCTACCAATGTGATATATGCCATCATGTGCCAGCAATGCTCCTCTGCAATGTACATTGGCCAAACCGGACAGTCTCTACGTAAAAGAATAAATGAACACAAATCAGACATCAAGAATTATTCAAAAAACAGTCGGAGAACGCTTCAGTCTCTCTGGTCACCCGATTACAGACCTAAAAGTTGCAATTCTTCTACAAAAAAACTTCAAAAACAGACTCCAACGAGAGCCCCCCCCCCCCCCCCCCCCGGTTCCTCACACATTCTTGTCAACTGCTGGAAATGGCCCACCTTGATTATCACTACAGAAGGGTTTTTTTTCTCTCCTACTGGTAATAGCTCACTTTACCTGATCACTCTCGTTACAGTGTGTATGGTAACACCCATTGTTTCATGTTCTCTGTGTATATAAAATCTCCCCAGTGTATTTTCCACTGCATGCATCCAATGAAGTGAGCTGTAGCTCACAAAAGCATATGCTCAAATAAATTTGTTATTCTCTAAGGTGCCACAAGTACTCCTTTTCTTTTTTAGGAGAATTAGTGATATTCTAGGGTCAGTATCCCAGAAGAAGGTGAAATAATAATGGGATTAAAATGCCCATTTATTAAGGGTCACAGTAGCTCATGCTACATAATTTCCAATGTTTAGTATGAAAGTAGTGCTAGTTCAGATATGCTGCTATATATTGAAGCCCTGAACACTGGCAGGCAAGTCACGTGGGACTGAAGCCCCGAGACCACCACCCCTCCCCTCTGGGCAGAAGCCAGAGAAGATGGAGGGGGGCGCACCTGGGCTTACGTGCCCCCCCCAGATTTTTGCCATGATTTGCTGGCCCTGCTTGGGCATATGGTGTCATCGGGTCCCCTCTCTGCACAGCAGCTGCTGGAGCCGGCAAGCTGGGAGCTGGAGGCATGGGGAGAGGCAGTGACAAACAGCTGGGAGCTGCAGAGAGAGCTGCGGCTTTTTCTGCTGTCTCTCCTCATGGAGCTAAAGCAGTGGCCCTTTCCTACAGCTCCCAGCTGTTTGCTGTTTCCTCTCCACGTGGAGCTAGTACCTAGGATCTGCTGGAATGTGCCACTGAAGGTAGGAAGGAGGGCATGCCGCATGACTCAAGCTGTTGGGAGCAGGGGAACCTTTATTGTGGACACACACACACACACACCCCCCATACTCTCAGCAGGCACCAGTCATTTCTGGCAGAAGCCTCTAGCCCCACCACGCTGCTGCAGTGCAGAAGTCCTTCACACACACCCCTCCAGTTTTGGTGGGCTCCTTCAGCCACACTTTAACTGTAAAAGAGCCGCATGCAGCTCACGAGGCGCAGTTTGGCCATCCCTGTTACATTAATTTGCTGTTTAAGAGGCACACAAATTTGTGTTCAAAATTCTGCATTTATTTTCAAAGTGCTTGAAATTGAGTAAACCTTTTAAGGTAGGGTTCCAAAGACTGTTGGCAGTCTTCAAATGTTTACTATTTGAAGACTGTCACACATTTTCCCAAATTGGTGTGAATTACCTTACACTGTGATCAAGATTAAAAAATGCATATATTTTATTGTCAATTCAGCATTACTATGTAATAAACATTCTCCCAAGAGGTGCAAGGTTTTTTATCATTCTATGTAATTATGGATTAAACCGGAATATATGGTCTTTAAATGGATATTATTGATGTTGGAAGATAAGTAATATAATCTACCTGCTTCAAATAACAGCTATATGCATGCTATATTACTACTTTTCCCACCCTGTCAGAGATTGTTCATTTCTTTTGGAAATGCCCTAATTTCTCCCAGTTCACTTGTCACCCAATCAGACCTTTTGTCATGCCAACCTTCCCTCTGGTGAGAAACATCGGATACACCGTATGACACCTCATTACTCTGCTATAGGATGTTAGCCTGACCCACTGAAACTTTATAGTCCTCTTCCATTTTTGAATTCAGGCAGTAAATTGAAATTGAAAAGAATCCTGAGCTCTTAAAAACAAAAGAAAGAGCACCAGTTTGTTGTTGCATTGTAACTAAGGTACACTTTCTAAATCAGATCAGTGTTGGAGATATCAATGTTACTTTATTCAGGTGAAATAATTGACAAAGGATATTGTAAATAAATCAACAGAATATTGAAAAAAAATTAAGCTTTTTGGCCTACGTGCTTCACCAGAGTCCTTCTTAAAACTTGTACCATTTCAACTGTCAGTCATTATTGTTTACAATGGTATCCTTTTGTTTTTTAATTTCCAGTGTTTAAGAGCAGTGTTGAAGTTAATGTCTGAATGCTGGGCCCACAATCCTGCCTCTAGACTTACAGCTTTGAGGATCAAGAAGACACTTGCCAAGATGGTTGAATCACAAGATGTAAAGATTTGACAGAATAATATAGTACTGAGGAGCAGAGTTGGACTCCTAGAACTTTTCACCCTGATAAGGGTGGGAACTAAGTGGGAAGAAGAAGCAACTGAGATTCAGTCCACTTCCTCATCTTACTTTTACAGGCTGCTAATATTAAATCTTTCAGTACTTTGTAGAATATAATGCTGAAAGTCTCTGTACACTACATGCTACATATATGGACAGCCTTGTTTTAAATATGCGTATCATTTTTGTTTTAAGCTGCATTGAGACTTCAGTCACACTTAGTGAGTCTCCAGTGAAACTCTGGGTACTAAATTGCATGTTCAGAGTACAGTGCTTTCTGTGAAAGCCTTAAGAAGCTAAATGGATTCAACAGAGATGGAGAAATATAAGCTTTTTGCCTTCTACCTGATAAAAACCTAGTTGGTTCATACCAAGTCTTTTTGAAATAGCCTGTAGGTTAGGAATCTGTTTGAGATACTACTCAGTTTAACAGTTCCTATGCCTTTTATGGGTCTTTTATGTGTGTGCCAGGATTCTTTGACTGCCATTTGGGATAGATCATTTAAATTCACAGAAAGACTTATGGTCAGGGCCCCGTATGTTCCCTGATTCCACAGTTACAGGATTTGCCACAGAATTCATCCCTCGACACAGAATTGTGCTCCAGAATCTCAATTTTCATGTTGAAATAATTACGTTTCTGTGCTGTTTAGGTTGCAAAGAGAACCTCAGAAATGTGAACAGTGTAAACCAATATCCATCTGAGGGCTTGTCTACACGGTGCAGCAATGCATACACTAGAGGGGTGTGATTTCTAAAGTATACTGACTGATCCATGTAGACCCTGCTGGCACACACTATAAGTTCCCCTAGGGTGCTTCATATACATGCTGCTTGTTAACATGCACTAGGAAACTTTTTAGTGCATGCCAGCAGGGTTGTTGCAGGCCAGTAAGTGTGCAGCACATAAGTGCACTTCATAGAAATCACACTTCTCTAGTGTGCATTGCCTTGCTGTGGAGACAAGCCCTGAGTCTGCGAAGAGCCTGAAACAGTGACTGAGAGGTGTGATCTGCCTCAGTCATCTCACTTGGGGCCCAGTATGCTCCATGATTGTGTGGTTGTGGAATTTGGCTTTTTTCGAGGCACCACAGAAGTCAGCATTTTTGTTGTAGACTGCACCATTTTGCAGCAACCAGACCTTTGGCTTTCTGTTTTGCCTCTCTGCCCTGCTGGGACCTGTCTGCAGCTGCTTCATGCTTTACGTCTTTCCCCATGAGAGGGAATTAAATGGATTGCATTGCATGCTCCTTTCACTATTCTATAGAACCAGACAGGAGGGGAGGTCTGAGAGCCAGAGCTGGAGTCCAGTTTGCAGATAGGGCCCACTCACAGAAGTGCAGGCTGGGCAGCTAGGAAACTGAGAGAATACAGTGTCATCCAAGACCTGGGGAACTGAGATGAACCACTGAAGCTGACTGACATGCATGAGGCAGGCAAGGGAGATTCTGAGCTAGATCACCTTAACAGCATCGTTACTGCTGAAGATCTTAGAGCTGGGCCATCTAGAGGACACAATGAAAAAACATAATCAAATACTGTCATTCCTGAAAATCGTCACTGACGAATGGTAAATCAGTGAGTATTTTCAACTGAATCGGATGTGTGTTGTTGGGTATGGGAGAAATGGGATTGAAAGGTGTTTTAATGGAGGTACAATAAATTAACATTGCTGCAGGATTTGGTCAAGGGTTTCTGTATAATACGCAGTGCTGTGCGTATGATTCTGTACTGCAGTGACTGGCTAGTTATATGAAAGCCATTTGGCTTGCACAGGAAATCAAATTTCTGCTGTTTTTTTGGTTGATCAAGACAGGTTTGTATAAAAGGCCAAAAAAACTAAAATGGTTAGTGTAAAGTTGGGCCATTAGTTATATACCATTAATTTTGTCACTATCAGTTTGAAGTCAGAAAAAGCAACATAACTCAAGTTTAAACTCCAATGCTGTGAATCTTGCTGAAGATTAAAAACACAATATTGGAACAGTTCAGTTAAACCTAATTTAAGTGCCTCTAACCTTGTACTGTAACCTTGTTCTAGATAATTTTAAAAAGGGAAGGTATTTATATAGTGTGTAATGTGCTCTATTTTAAAACACCTGGTCATAGGTAAATGTGCACACACATGCTATAGCTCAGATTTGGAGGGGGAAAAATTTTTGGAAAAATGTTGACATTCGTCAGACATAGTGATTTCATATTAAGATTTTTGATAAATTATCTGTCGTCTTAAAATGGGTACATGGAGACTGCTTTGAAATTGTGTTAAAATGTCCTTTGAAAATACAATAGAAAATGTAACTTAATGAAGTTCCAATATGCATTTGTGAACAACTGCAAATAACTATCTAACACTGGGTTTTTTCACTTCTGTTCCATAGTTTGCAAAAAGTAAGTGGTCAGGCAAAAGACTGCAGAATTTTTTATTTTCTGTTGTGATGTACAGACGTTATTTAACAATGCTACATATTTTATAGAAAACTAGTTATTTCAGGGGACATTTCTTTTTTAAAATAAAGTCATTACTTTTGTTCATTAAAGCCTTTAAGTATTAATATGTATTCTGGTTGAACAATTCCTGGGTGTGTCAAATATAATTTTAACTTATTTGAAGACAGCAGTAGACAATAGTGTGCCACAATTCTTATGAAAAAAAGGGCTTTAAAAAATTTTTCCGTCCATTGTCAAGAAAGATATAAGATGAGGCTCAAGTTGTTAAGCATGTCTTTGTGCATTAGTTTGCCCAGTGCTCCTGGGGGAGTTCTGTGCCAAAAAATTAAAAATTCTGCACACACTATTTTAAAACTGTGCAAAATTCTGCATATTTTATTTGTTAATATAACGCAATATAATCACGCTGGTTTCAATTATTTTGGTAATTTATTTAAACTACAATACAATGGATGGAGAATGGGAGTGGGGAGCATTGGAGGAAATCCCCAAGCCCGCAATGTCTAGTAGTAATGTAGCTAGTATTGACCCTTTACTTCTAATTATTAATCAACAAATATATGCAGCCATATGCTCAGTGTTACATCACAGGCAACTGAAGAGCAAGTGAGGGCTCACACTCACAATTTATATTGGCTACTGGCCATCTCCAGGAAGGTCAGTAGAAACAGTTCATAGAGCCCATTTTCATAGGAAAATTTTTCAGTCAAAAAATTTAGACCAGTTCTAATCACTAAAGCACCATAAACATTTATAAGGCCATACTGTCCTTTACAATAAGGCTTCTTTACACCACTTTGGGAATATAAAGGAGCCGTAAATTTTTTTACACCTGTTTTATACTCCTGGGGAATTTACTAAGAACAATGGGAACAATTCACTAAGCAGGCAGGCTGCTACTTTCTACTCTGCCTGTGGGAACAGAGCCTGCCCCACACCTGTCTTCTCAGAAACACCTCAAAGCCCTGCCCCTTCACACTGAGCATTCTGCAATAGCGAACGAGAGGGACAGAGTGTATCTTTCTCTCTCACACATGACTGCCCAGCCCTCCCACCCCAGCTGTGATTTACATCTCTATCGGCTGCTCTGGGCACTCAAACTAGCGTGCCTGCATTTCTGGGGAGGGGCATGTGACTGCTCTTGCGGCTTCCCTTTACTTCCCCGTCAGAAGTCATTTTTCTGTAGGGAAGCAAAGAAATCTGCGGGGACCATGAATTCTGCGCATGCGCAGTGACGTAGAATTCCCCCCAAAAGTAGCACAGGTAGTTGAAAAATATTTGGCATGAGTAATGAAATCAATAATTTAGAATAAGTTGCTTCCACCCACCCACCACCCTGGGTTTTTAACAATAAAAAGGGAAATGTTTATGCACATGTCCCATAGGCTTGCTCTTTCAGAACTTGGAGTTTTTTTTTAACTTAATCCAATAAAGTGCCATGTGAATTATACATCTTTATTAGCTACAATTTGTTTGCTGACGTTTAATCTTGACATGATTTTTCTGAAGTCTTTAAGGAAAACAGTTGGTGGTAGTCTAAATAAAGCGACAGAAATGTAAAAATGAAACACCATTTTTAATTATTCATTGATTTCCCTCCCATCCCAAATATTTATTGCTTAAGTTTTTGCAAGGCAAAATGTTGGTGATACTGAGGGTATGTCTACATTGCAATTAGACACCTGTGGCTGGCCCATGCCAGATGACTCAGGCTCCTGGGGCTCAGGCTAAGGGGCTGTTTAATTGCACTATAGATGTTTGAGTTCGGGCTGCAGTCTGAGCTCAGGGACCCTCCCACCTCGCAGAGTCCTAGAGCCCAGGTGCCAGCCTGAGCCTGAATGTCTACACTGCAGTTAAACAACCCCTTAGCCTGAGTCAGCTGGCATGGACCAGCCATGGGTTTTTAATTGTAGTTTAGACATACTCTGAATAAATACCTTAACACTTTAAAAGGCTTTACAGAAAACACTTTTACATAAAGTAAATCCACTGAGCTGGGTTTTCTGTTGGGTTTGGGGGAGGAGGAAGGAAGAGGTGGAGGGGGACTTACACCTAAATTCTAAAAAGTGGTTGCCTAGTTGGGCTCCAAAATCTGTTTTAGGCACCTCAATAAAAGGCCTTATAGTCTCAAATCCTGAGTATTTCATTGGCTCAATTGAGAGCTGGTAGGTGCTCAGTACTTCTGAAAATCAGTAAATTAAGGCCCTAATTCAGTAAAGCACTTAAGCACGTGCTTAAGTCCTATGTGAAGTAACTTGCAAAATCGGGGCCTAAATATGAGTTTAGGCTCATAGCTTTAGATACCCATTTCTTAAAATCTTGACATTAATCTTAGCAAATGTATTAAATAAAAATATTTTTGTACTTAATGCAGACTTAAGTCAAGTTGTGTTGCCTTATAAGGATTCCAAAGCCTTTTAAAGGAGTATCAGACTCCTTCATCCGAAGTGAGTGATCATCTCATTTTGTTGGTCAAACTTACTTCAGTAATTATTTATCAACCAGTATTTAAAAAAAGAGAGAGAGAGAGGATGCCTGGCAAATATCTTTTAAATGTAATGTGTAGAGTATGCCTTGTGAACATGGTCTGTGCCTTGGAACCAATTAAGCAGTTGCATATGGAGATTTGTATTGTCTCGCATGTTCTACCTTGCTTTAGTTGGATGGAAAGTAACTTGCATCTTTGAGATAATTGAGGCCATTGTATTCAGTGAGAGTAAGGAAACATTTACATTCCTGATTAACTTGTAAATTCCTAAAGGAATATGATGTTTCTAGGAATGAATGCAGGCTTTCGTTTTGGGTTTTACTGTTTGCTTATCTTAGAATTTTTCTTTGAGAATGAGTATCTTGAAAACCCAAATTAGATAAGTGATATACAACTTCTGTAGGCCTCTAATCAGCTTTCAAGGTAGATATTTTTGAAAGTACGAGACTTCAAAATCTTGGAAAACTGTCAGTTTCATTTGTATGTACCATATTTTCCTTAATTATTTCCTTTACATTTTTAAATTATATTATCTTTAAGTGTTGATATTAAAATGCAGAATGAATCTTTAACTGTTACCTCCTCAGTAAGCCTAGAATCAAATTTTAGGACGTCATCTAAATGACCACTGAATGTGCTATAAAATTAATTCTTTGGATACAAATCAGCTATATTGTCTTCACATACTATATTTTAAATTAACAGACTAAAACCATTTGAAGAGTAAAAATGTCACAAGTTTAAAATTAAAAACCTTTTTTGGTTACTGTAATAATGTTTAAAGGGAAGTAATATTTATCTTTTATTTTGGTTAGATAGGAAATGATTTAGCAGTTCTCCATTGTTGTGACAGTGCTTCTGTAAGAAGTCAGAGGACACAATCCTGCTTCCACTGGGTGTACCCCCCATGTAGGGGTGATATAATGTTATATAATACAGAGCTTTATGGAGTTCACAGTATAGTAGCCATGGTTTAATAGTTATCACAAAGTTGGAGTAAATACTATTTTACTTAATTTGTTCAACAAATCTCATGTAATTGTTGCCTTGTTCTATATTATCCTTGAATGCAATTAAGTCCACATACTGTAGTAATGTTTGTGCTCTGACCTACCCATGCCCAACATGAAATGTATTATATTGTATACAAAAATAACATTGTAGTTCACTTAGAGAAGATGTAAATAAAAATGAGAGAAGGGCAAAACAAGCAGAATGATTACATTCTTGTGTTTGTTATATGCCAAAAGTGTAGAATAATCTTTTAAAATGTAACACACTAATGTACCTTGTACAGCATCTGATTTAAAAGGTGCCTTAAGTTTACCATGAATGCTTTTTTCTGTACACAGATTATGTCCAATGTATCATTTTTAAGTAAATAACCTTATTTTAGTACATATTAGTAATGTGTTTTGTATTACTATAAGACTTCATGAGTATGTACTACCTTGGAAACTGTTAATGCATAACCAAGTACTTCTCTGCTTTTAAAATACTGTATTTGGTTCAGTCTTTAAATCATTGGATAAGTTAACAATTAACAGCTTTAATCATCTTCCTTAGTGATGCTCAAAGTTGTTTGGTGGACTATCGTCAATCATCCAGTGCCTTAAATGTGGGCACAATACTAAAATCAGTATTCTTCTTCTTAAATTTTCTCCTTGGTTCGTATTGGAAGAAGAACAAAGCCAGCTTTTAATAAACTGCTTTGCTTGATTATTTGTGTTTGGGGATAGACCTTTTATGTATATGTTGCCTATAAAGGTAAAGATCTATTTGACTTTGAATTCACACAAACTCTTATTGCCAGTACAAATAACTAGGGCTGTCAATTAATCACAGTTAACTTATGCGATTAACTCAAAAAAATTAACTGTTATTACAAAAATTAATCGCGATTAATCACACTGTTAAACAATAAGATGCCAATTGAAATTTATTAAATATTTGTGGATGTTTTTCTATATTTTCAAATATATTGATTTCTATTACAACACAGAATACAAAGTGTACAGTGCTCACTTTATATTATTTTTATTACAAATATTTGCACTGTAAAAATGATAAAAGCAATAGTATTTTTCAGTTCACGTCATACAAATACTGTACTGCAATCTCTATTGTGAAAGTGTAACTTACAAATGTAGATTTTTTTTGATACATGACTGCACTCAAAAACAAAACAATGTAAAACTTTTGCGCCTACAAGTCCACTCAGTCGTACTTCTTGTTCAGCTGATCACTAAGACAGATAAGTTTGTTTACATTTACAGGAGATAATGCTGCCTGCTTCTTATTTACAATGTCTCCTGAAAGTGAGAACAGGCATTTGCATGGCACTGTTGTAGCTGTTGTTGCAAAGTATTTACGTGCCAGATATGCTAAACATTCATATGCCCCGTCATGCTTCAGACACCATTCCAGAGGACATTCTTCCATGCTGATGTTGTTTGTTAAAAAAATAGTGCATTAATTAGATTTGTGACTGAACTCCTTGGGGGAGAATTGTACGTCCCCATCTCTGTTTTACCCGCATTCTGCCATATATTTCATGTTACAGTAGTCTCAGATGATGACCCAGTACATGTTGTTTGATTTAGGAACACTCACACTGCAGATTTGACAAAATGCAAAGGTACCAATGTGAGATTTCTAAAAATAGCTACAGCACTTGACCGAAGGTTTAAGCATCTGTAGTGCCTTCCAAAATCTGAGCGGGACAAGGTGTTGAGCATGCTTTTAGAAGTCTTAAAAGAGTAACACTCAGATGCGGAAACTACAGAACCCAAACCACCAAAACAGAAAATCGACCTGCTGGTGGCATCTGACTCAGATGATGAAAATGAAACTGCATCAGTCCGCTCTGCTTTGCATCATTATCGAGCAGAACCTGTCATCAGCGTGGATGCATCTCCTCTGGAATGGTGGTTGAAGTATGAAGGGACATATGAATCTTTTGCGCATCTGGTATGTAAATATCTTGCGACACCGGCTACAACAGTGCCAAGCAAACACCTGTTCTTACTTTCAGGTGACATTGTAAACAAGAAGCTGGCACCATTCTCTCCTGCAAATGTAACCAAACGTGTTTGTCTGAGCGATTGGCTGAAGTAGGACTGAGTGGACTTGTAGGCTCTAAAGTTTTATATTGTTTTATTTTTGAATGTAGTTATTTTTTTGTACATAATTCTACATTTGTAAGTTCAACTTCCATGATAAAGAGAGGTTTCAGAGTAGCAGCCGTGTTAGTCTGTATTCGCAAAAAGAAAAGAAGTACTTGTGGCACCTTAGAGACTAACAAATTGAGTAGCTTACAAAAGCTTATGCTCAAATAAATTTGTTAGTCTCTAAGGTGCCACATGTACTCCTTTTCTTTATGATAGAGAATGCACTACAGTACTTATATTAGGTGAATTGAAAATACTGTTGCTTTTGTTTTTTACAGTGCAAATATTTGTAATCAAAAATAAATATAAAGTGAGCACTGTACACTTTGTATTCTGTGTTGTAATTGAAATCAATATATTTGAAAATGTAAAAAACATTCAAAAATATTTAAATAAATGGTATTCTATTGTTTAAGAGCACGATTCATCTCGATTAATTTTTGTAATTGTTTGACAGCCCTACAAATAATATTAATTAGAAAGCCAATTATAATTTTTTTATTTTTACTTGAGTGAAGTTTATAGTAGTAAACTCTTGTCCTATGGGTTCCAAAAGTGGCCAGTGGGATATAATACTTAAAACTGAGTCCGTCTGGACATTTTCATCAGTCCAAGGAGCAGCAGTTTATATCTCAAATAGAATTGTCCTTTTTAACAGCTAATATTTATGGTACCTTGAAATATAGAATCATAGAAATGTAGTGCTGGAAAGTGCCTAGATATGTTGCCAATATCTTTGGTTTTTAATGAGCTGTAGCTATTGTACTGTGGTTGATACTTAATCTGTTCTGTTTTACCACATGGCATTAATGTTGGCTAGGGTGAGATTGTGTTTTGTTTGTGAATAGTATTGAAAGGCAGGATGAAGAGGCTGTGTTTCAGTGAAATTTTTGATGAATTATTTTAATTTTGTTTTGATTAATCAGTTGTAACTTCTCCCCCATGGTATTTGGCCTTTTGGCCACATATTGGTATTATATTTTAAAGTTTTGAGACTCCTTTTGGCAAAATGTTGGCATAACTGATATAACCTAAAGAATATTAATTTATCCCCTTACTAATATTATCCCTTGCCAATAATAGTTATAGAACTCTTATATTTTTGGTATAAGTTTTTTGGCCACCCTTAGAACTTAAATATAATTAAACTTTTTACTGTCAGCAAAAATTTGCTTTAATACTTAAGAATTTTAAAAAGCATGTCAGGCACTGTGAAGCTTGGCAATCATAGACAATAATGTCTCTGAAAAATTTATTGTACATGTGGACAAATACACTTTGAATAACTCATGTAAAATTGTGACTCAACTGAAGTCATTGTCGAAGCTCCCATTGACTTCAATGAGGCCGGGATTTTACCTGGTTTCTCTAAGCCATATCACTGCTGGAGATGATGAGTGGGATAGAAAGGAGACTTGAATCTACTTCATTAAAAGTGTCTGGGTCACCTGATTTTATGGTCTAACTAAAAGATACCAGCCCTGTCACTGATGCTTTTGTCTCCCTTTGCACTTTCACACCCCATCTTGGTTTTCTTGTACTCTTTCCTCCCCCCAGCTCAAAATATTCAAGCAGTATTGTGCACAAAAATGAGATTACGTTACTTGTCAAAGGTGCAGAATAAATGATGTATTTTCAGTCTTCAGTGTATTGGAGACCGCAGAACAGAGAGATGTTTACAATCCCACCAGTGAGTTAATTTATAAACAGTTAAAACTACTAACTTTCTGGTTTGCCGTATTCCAAGAAACATGCAGAGGCAATGGTGCAAAGGAATGCTTTCATGTGATTATTCTACATGTTACGAACTGGTACATCCAATCTTCACTGCAAAGGGCACAGTCAGCTATAAAATTAAGGTTTGAAGAGCAATACATGTTTTTAGTAATTCTTTAGTTTAATGCTCACAACTAGAGCTGGTCAAAATTTTTCCAATGGAACAGTTTACCATCGGAAAATGCTGATTTGACTAAATCTGTGTTTTGAGGGGGATGTATCCATTTTGTCAGAATTTTTTAAACATTTTGTTTTTATAAGTTTGAAATGTTGCACTTCAATTTCATCATTTTGATTTATATATTATATTTATAATGTAAAAGCCAAAACATTTTGACTTTATCAAAATGAAGTAGTATATGTAAAAATCAGAGATTTGACTTTTCATCCCAATTCAGGATGAAACCAAATTTTGAAATCTCAGAATTTCCCTCAACTCTAACTTACCTTTTGCATTCCATTCTAATGAGCTAATGACAATAGATTAGTCAGTTTAACTTTTTGTTGTGTACCATTAGCAGAGTGCTGGAACTTTTCGGTTGCAAACGCTGCAGAAGCATGATTTTAAATTTAAAAAAAATGTTTTGTTGACATTTTATTACTGTCAATATATCACTTAATCTGTTTTTTCCTTTAAAACAGAAATTTGGGCCTATATCAGTTTGATAGCATCACATTAAAATTAGCTTTACAATTCAGTTAGATCATGACCAAGTGCCTAGAAAACTGAGACAGCAGGGCCTATCTAAGGCTGTAAAGATTTACTTGTGTGTGTAACTTGAAGCACAGGAGGCATCCCATTGCATTAACTGGGACTCTTCACATTCTTAAAGTTAAGTATATGCTTAAGCACTTTGCTGAATTGGGTTCGGTGGTTCACAAACTATCACTAGGTCACTAGTGGTCTGCAGAGAGCAGGCAGGCTAGATGTTTTGGGATTGTCATCTACAGATGTTAAACTGCATCAAAAATAGCTAAAGCAATATTCTTTATTAATATGGCTTTTCAGCCTAATTAATTGCTAGAGCTGCCACTGGGAGGTTATTCAGTGGGGAGGGAGGAGGTGGCCCTGCTATCATGTCTATGAGGGGAGATAGAGCATGAGACATTTATCACACAGAAGAAACTTAATAAAATTCCATTTCTCTGAATTCTATGTGATGCTTTAAGTAATCAAAAACCAAATATGTCTAGAAAGGAACGTGCTGGTAAATCTAAGAGTGCTATGTTAAACACACGCAACAGAATTTACATGCACACAAATCACAGATCAGGCAGTAATTGATGGTCCACTGTATCTGTGGAAAAATGTTGACTAATGAACAATGGCACACTTCAAGTTTTAAATATTAGAAATCCACCCATGGTTGTTCCAGGTGGGCTACGTTTCACTATAGAGCCCTGCAGCAGTTCAAACCACACTCTCTCCTCCTTCTTCAGCTCTGCCATAGCAAAAGTGGTCTCAGAGCTTCCAATTGACTCCTGAGTACTTGACAGAGTCATTCTGTTCCCATGGCTAAAAACCAGCTGGCCTAGTGCAGGTCCTGCACTAAACTTCACATTGATGACAAACATGTAGACACCATTTTGAGGTGCTTTGAAGTAGCCCTGTTCGGGGAAATAGCTGTTACCATAATTAAGGTATGTTTCATTAAATCTCAATGCTTTTATTTCATCCCATTCTTCAGAGAATCCAACGTAGAATGCCACTGATGAATCTAGAACAACACAGGGAGAGGAACAGTTTTTACAATACAGCAACTCTTTCTGTGCTAGCTCCCCACAGGTAGGTAGTGGAATAAAGCTTGTAATTATGATTGCCACATATATATTTGTGTTAACTTACCTTATTAAATGTAAATATTTAAAATAAGATTGTGCTCACAATGGGAATCAAAATGACTCAACAGTATTATATCTATGTCTGCTTCCTTTGGGTCTTAGGAATCATCTCCGTTTGATTTAATGAGGCACCATGTTCTAGTGGGTAGAGCACTGGACTAGTGGGTCACAAGACCTAGGTTCTATTCTTGGCTCTGCTGTGAAACTTTCGGCAAGTCACTTTACCTCTCTGCACCTCTGCTTCCACTCCTACTCTTTGTCTCTGTTTCAACTGTGTGCTCATTGTGTGTTTATACAATGCCTGGCACAGTAAGGCCCCAATCTTGGTTGAGGCTTCTAGGTGTTACTGTAAAACAAATAACTAGTTTTTTGCTACCATCAGCATTGCTGAGCCGATCTAGCTACAAGAGCAAGAGAAATGCTGGTCTCCCCCATGAAATCTGTTAATCTGTATGGTATAGAGTAGAAGTACATAAAAAGACCAGAGTTCATGGGGGAGATCAGGAACAGTCAGCATGGATTCACCAAGGGCAAGTCATGCCTGACCAACCTGATTGCCTTCTATAATGAGATAACTGACTCTGTGGACATGGGGAAAGCGGTGGACATAATATATCTTGACTTTAGCAAAGCTTTTGATACAGTCTCCCACAGTATTCTTGCCAGCAAGTTTAAAAAGTATGGATTGGATGAATGGACTATAAGGTGGATAGAAAGCTGGCTAGATCATCAGGTAGTGATCAACGGCTTGATGTCTAGTTGGCACCCAGCATCAAGCGGAGTGCCCCAGGGGTTGGTCCTGGGGCTGGTTTTGTTCAACATCTTCATTAATGATCTGGATGATGGGATGGATGTCATCCACGAACTTGCGGAGAGTGCAACTAAGCTTGGGTGAGAGGTAGATATGCTGGAGGGTAGGGATAGGGTCCAGAGTGACCTAGAGAAATTGGAGGATTGGGCTAAAAGAAATCTGATGAGGTTCAACAAGGACAAGTGCAGAGTCCTGCACTTAAGATGGAAGAATCCCATGTGTTGCTACAGGCTGGGGACCAACTGGCTAAGTGGCAGTTCTAAAGAAAAGGACCTGGGGATTACAGTGGACGAGAAGCTGGATATGTGCCCTTGTTGCCAAGAAAGCTAACAGCGTATTGGGTTGCATTAGTAGGAGCATTGCCAGCAGATCGACGGAAGTGATTATTCCCCTCTATTTGGCACTGGTGAGGCCACATCTGGAGTATTGTGTCCAGTTTTGGACCCCCCACTGCAGAAAGGATGTGGACAAATTGGAGAGTCCAGCAGAGGGCAATGAAAATGATTGGGGACTGGGGCACATGACTTATGAGGAGCGGCTGAGGGAACTCGACTTATTTAATCTGCAGAAGAGAAGAGTGGGGGGGATTTGATAGCAGCCTTCAACTACCTGAGCGGAGGTTCCAAAGAGGATGGAGCTAGGCTGTTCAGTGGTGGCAGATGACAAAACAAGAAGCAATGGTCTCAAGTCGCAGTGGGGGAGGCCTAGATTGGATATGAGGAAAAGCTATTTAACTAGGAGGGTGGTGAAGCACTGGAATGCGTTACCTAGGGAGATGGTGGAATCTCCGTCCTTAGAGGTTTTTAAGGCCCGGCTTGACAAAGCCCTGGCTGAGATGATTTAGTTGGGATTGGCCCTGCTTTGAGCAGGGGGTTGGACTAGATGACTTCCTGAGGTCTCTTCCAACCCTAATCTTCTGTGATTCTATATACATGCAATAGGTGTTTCCATAATTCTAGATAAAATAATGCCAAACCATATATCTTAAAGCAGTGCCTTATTTTAAGTCTTTTCTTGTAAAAGATTATCAAATTAAAGCAGGGAGTTTGTATTACCTTTGTATATGGCAGTGGTGAGACCATTTCTGGAATACAGTCTCCAGTTCTGGTGTCCACACTTTAAAAAGGATGTTTTAAAAAATTGAAAAATATTCAGAAAAGACACAAGAATAATCTGAGGTCTGGAAAACGTGCTTTGCGGTAAAAGACTTCAGAAGCACAATCTCTGTAGTTTATCAAAAAGAAGTTTAAGAAATGACTTGAAGATGGTCTGACTACATAAACAGGGAAAAGATTTCTGATGGTGATCTTTAGTTTAGCAGATAAAGGAATAACAAGATTAAATAGATGGAAGCCGAATTCAGACTGGAAATAAGGTACACATTTTTAACAGTGAGGGTAATTAATCATTAGAATAATTTACCTAGGGATCTGACGGACTCTCCATCAAGATTTGGATGTCTTTTTAAAAGATATACTCTAGCTCAATCAAAAGTTTCTGGTCTTGATTCAGGCACTACTGGGCAAAATTCTATGGTCTATGCTATGCAAAAGGTTAGACTAAATTATCAGAAATGGTCCCTTCTGGGCTCAGTCTATGAATCTATAAAGAAATTCTTCTTACCAGCAGAGGGCACTGCAGTGAGGCATGATAGAAAGGAACTTACAGAATCAGTGCCAAAAGCAGTCAGTAAACAACACATTTTAAGTGACAAGAATCTTAGGTCCCATTCAGAGCTTGTCTACATGGGGAGAAACAGGGAAGTTTTGGTGAATCAACTAGAGGTATGAAATTAAAACACATAAAGTACAGCATATTAAACATATGCTTCCTTTGGACCCAAGCTTTTCCACTTTGCTTACTCAAGTTACCCAATTAAGTTAATGTGCCTGTTCCTGTTAGCAAGATGAACAGGATTTGGCCCTTTCTGTTCCTCCCAAACTCAAATAATGATGGAGACTGAGCCAATGCTTGGAGACCCAGCAGCCTCATCCTGACTCAGAACAAAAAAAAATTTAAGTAATCATCAGCAATTGCAAGCAAAACATGGAGCTTTTAAAATGTTAAGGGCCAGTTACCCAGCTGTTGTAAATCTGTAACTCCACTGACTTTATACCAGCCACTTCATACCAGCCACTGACTTTATACCAGCCAAGGAGCCAAATGCAATGTCAAATCTTGGATTGTATTGAGACACTGACCAGCTCCCACACTATATATACCATGCACCTGAAGTGTGCTGTGAGGCTCAGAAACAAGCTACAGCATGGGGAGGGGGAGAACGTACCTTTTTCCAAAAGCTCAGCCACTAGTTTATTTCTTCCATTTATAGTTTGCATGTGTTCTCTGTTCTCAGCAGTCTGTTTCTTGTCTCTCCTTTTTTGCTTCTCATGACCTTTTTGCTGCCTCCTCATCTTTTTGGTCATCATTGACTGAATCTTTGTAATGTCCAGACTTATGTTTGAGGCAACTAATTCTTCAGTCCTTCCAAATAGTTTTTGAAAAATCTGTAGATGGTCCTCAAAACTCTGTTTGGTGATTGCTAAATCTGCCCTCAGAATCTCCACTGAAATGCTGAGAGGTTCCACTAGATTTACTACAGTATGATTGCAGCAGTTATTGTTATCGTCCCTCCATGACTGATGCCTCTTAATGTCCATACTTAGATGTTTGATCTCTTTTTTTAGAGTCATGATATCATTATATGCTGGATTATCCACACTGTCATCCCTGGAAGCCTCATGGTTAGGCTCCATATGTTCTACATTGCTGTGTGGGCTCCTGACTTCCTCCAGAGTGTGTTTTGTTTGCTTTTTATGTTCGGGATGTTCAGGGACATTCTGAATATCATGGTTACTCTCACGACCCATCTCCAGGAAATTAAATCTTTTTGTAAGGGATTCTAAAGTCACATTTTGCTCTTTGAGTTTATCTGAGGTGTGTCTGAGAGCTTCTTGCAGTTGAGCTACTGATGATATTAAGGTGTTAGGGTTTTCTTCAGACAAGACCTCCATAATTTCTGCTCCCAACAAGGCCTCTAGTGCTGTTTCATGTCGCATTGCATCTTCCAAAAGAGAATTGAAAGAACTATTGAGATACTTGATGTGGCCGTGAATTTCCTCATCTTTCTTCTTCAGGAAGCCAATATCTTCTGACAAAATCTTAATCTGTGATTTAAGATGAGACATGCTGTCCATCAGTTGTCTGCTTTGGTCTTGTTGATAACCAAGAGACTGATGGATAGAATGAATAGCCGTGGACAGCTCTTCAATTTCACTCCTCAAGAGATCCTTGGAAGACATCTCTAGGTGTTGCACTTCCTTTAAGTTTAGCTGGATATTCTCTAGGGAATGGGTGATATTCTTTTGATCTTCTTCCAGTATGTCAATGTCAGAAGATATTTTCTCACAATTGCACTCTCTCATGTACTTCAATAGATCCCAGTGGCTTTCTTGAAGATTTGAGAGGGTATAGTTCAGCTCCAATATCTGTCTTTGCAGAGATTCTTTGTTCTCTTCAATAATAAGTGATTTCTCCATTAAGGCTACTCTAAACTCCTCTGATTCATGCTTTGACTTGGCTTTTAAATCCTTAACCCATTTATCTAAAACAGTAATATCCTCAAAGGCCACATCTGACTCCATGTACAGTTCTTTAAGTTGCTTTGCATGCCCTATCAGGGTCTCATTGAGTTGCTTGATGGATAGCCAGGTAGCTTCATCTTTGTTGCCACAATATAAAGAGAGTCCTGTTAAGTTTCTGTTCAAAGTCTCAAGTTCATCTTCAAGGTTTTCTTTTTCTTGTTTCATGTCTGTCATGCTACTATTCAAAGCTAATAAATGGGACTGCTGTATCTTATGATACCTCTTGAGCTTCATATCAGTATCTGCCTTGATCATGGTGAGATTATAGTGAATGATAGTCTGCTGCATGTGTAGATGATTGCCTATTTCGCTTTTCAGCTGGTCCACTCTCACTACATTTTCTTGAACTTTTGATTCAAACTTAGTTCCTAGCTCCTGGAATTCCTTCTTGGGCACGGTGCTTTCTTGGAATTTCTCTATGCTTTTTTTATTGGCCTCCACATCCTTGGACAAGTTTCTTACCATGCTGGAGAGGTTCTGTAAGCTTTTATTGAAGCTTGCCCACATTGGGTTAAAATGTTCCCTCAGGAAACTCTCCACATGGGGAAACAACATTTGCTGAAGGAGCCTTTCAGGCAGTTCTGTAACACAGAATTAAATCGTACAACACACAATCTAAGAAAAATATTCCTATAAAACTAAAAGGAAAAATTTAAATGACATTTTGGGAAAATAAACCTTTCCAGGCTGGGACCAGATTTGGACAAGTACCTCCAGGTCACTGGCTAAGTGTTTTTCTGTGGTGACTGCCACAATATCCCCCCAAAATCTAAACTTTCCTTTAAAAGAGAATTAAGCTTGTAATACTTATGTCTAAGGCTGTGAGTCTGTCACAGAGGTCAAGGATTCTGTGACTTTCTCAGACCTCCACGACTTTTGCAGTGGCTAGTGCAGCTGACTGGAAGCAGCTCAGGCAGCCCCATGGCCAGCTGCACTGACCACTGCAGGGGCAGTCTTGGGCCACTGTGTCCCCCCCTTCCCCCCGCAGCAGCAGGATTTTGGGAGTAGGAGGGGGCTCAGGGCTGGGGCAGGAGCTTGGGGTGAGAGATGGGGTGAGGGTTATGCATGGCACTTATGTCGGAGGGCTCCCTGAAAGTGGCACCATGTCCCACTTGGGGTGGGGGCAGTGTGCGGATCCCCCTGGCTGTGCCTCCACCTAGGAGTAGAGGGACATGTCAGCGCTTCCGGGGAACCATGTGGACCTGGGTAGGGAGGTTGCTTGCCCTACCAATCCTGACCCCCCAATACCAAGTGGGAGTCCCTGACCACCCTCCCCCTCAGAGCATTCGCAGCACCCCTGGCTAACCCCTACCCGAGAGCACCCTAGTTTTAGTTAGGGGTATATAGTACAAGTCATGGACAGGTCACGGACCGTGAATTTTTGTTTACTGCCCATGACTTTTACTAAAAATACCCGTGACTAAAACATAGCCTTACTTATGGTTGGAAAAATAATCTTCTCATTTAAACTGAGCATAAGTCAATACAGTGTTGTCTTTCTGAGCCTGCAGCCACTTTGAAACAATAGCTCTGAGAAGTGTGAAGTGCCCCTGTTCATCTAAGAAGCATGTTAACTCTGAATTTATGATGATAATTTCTCAACTGGCCATTTTAGCAATGCCCCCACAAGTTACTATGTGTATCCCACAATTCCATAATGCCTTCCCCTCTGATACTTACCATGCAACTATATCAAATACAAAATTGTACAACACACTGAAATCTGAAAATTTAGGGACAGAATAACCTAAAATGACTTTAATAACAAACACAAAGGGATACTCAAACTTAAATATTACACTGGGCCTAGGCAGCATCTGCAAAGTTACCTATAACGGTATGTGATATCTTCTCTGTACTTGATGGTAACCAACTCAAACACTGATCCTTTCTCATTAAGGAACCAGGATCTCAGAACCCATGGTTCACTAGTAGGCCAAATTCAGCAGTGAAAAGTATGTATGGAGTACAGGCTGGTTTGGAGAATTCAGACACTCACTCTTATGTAACTTCCACCAATCTTGAATTCAGTATAATGTGTGTGCAATGGCTGTGCAAAAACTTACACAGTAAAGGGAGGAAGGTGAAGGGCACAATGGGAAAATAAATTAACAAGTAAATGTAAGGAGCCTGCTTTCTCTTACACAGTGAATTGCTTTTCCTGATACTCATTCTTCAGCCATTGTGGCATGTAAATTACATTAAGTTATGCCAAATAAATTCAATTTAAACTATGCTATGGTTTACACCCACTTTACACCCCAATTTGTCACAGGGTAATTTGACTCAGCGACTTCCAGGGGAATTGCTCTCATTTACCCCATATCTGGATTTGGCTCACTCTAAGCAAGTCCATTTTTTAATCAGAGGTGTGATTGCAGCATATGTAGATATACCTTTATATATAGATATATAGTATACCTTTTTAGTGACCTTTGATCTAACTAGCACAAGTACCATTAGCAATGAAACTGTGGACAAACCTGCCGGGGACATTGGGTCTGTACTCAAGCATCTAGTCTGTGCCGCCAAAACTTCAGTGCTATAGTTTGAGATAGTTCAATCAAAGCTAACACAAGTATGTCTCCACATGCTGCAATCATATCTCTGGAGTGCAGATACACCCTAAAAATTGAAGTAAAGCCCTACAGAATACCAGGTTCTAGTTTCTAGATTTTCTTTCTGGTATATATGAATCTACAATGCCAGCTTGAACACTGATGTATCTGTGCCAATCCTCTCACCAGATTTACTCAGGTTCAGTTTTAACGTCATGGTGGTAATGTTGTTTTCAAGTAGATTCTGTAAATCTCCGGCTGACTGATGAATATCATTCTGAAGATCTTCCAGAAGTCCCTTATGATGCTGAATAGTTTTCATAATTTCTTTTGCCTGCAGTGATGTCAACACTAATTGCAAAATGAAAGAAAGTGATCAGCCACACAATATCCAGCAATCAACAGTGTGAAAAGTGCACCCCAACCGGGTGCAGGCTCTGTACCAACTCCTGTATTCCTTACTCACTGAGTAAAGATTTAATTCATCCTTGAGTCTTCCAGTGACTCTATAAACAAAAGGCTTTTGGGGACATGACATATAAGCTCACGTAAACGTGTAGTCCCAGTTATTTCAATGGGCGTATTATAATGACAGCCCTCCGCCACACCATAAGCATCTCTTGCAGAATAAGAGCTTTCAAGTCAGTTGCCTAAGGTTACAGCTACACTGCAACTGGACGATGTGATTCCCAGCTCAGGAAGATGTATATGGTCAAGCTAGCACACTAAAATAACAGTATGGCCACAGCTTCACAGGCAGCAGCTCAATCTAGGTGCCCATGCTATCACAGCCATCCTGCTATTTTAACATACTAGTTCAAGCAGGGATAGCGTATGTATGTCTATCCAAGCTGGGAATCACACCACCTAACTGCAGTGCCAGATGTACCCTAAAAGGAAAGCAAAGTTGGTCTACCTACAAATCACACATAATTGGAGAGCTGGTTGGGAATTTTTTGACAAAAAACAGTTTTTAATTGGGAATGTTTCTCAGGTCCAAGATAGAATTTCTGGTCAAAACTGGAGGGCGGGGGGAAGAGAATAGAAGAGCTGCTTGGCCAGGATTTGAACCTGGGTCTTCCACATCCTAGCTTAGAACCCTAACCATCAGGCTACTGGCTATTCAAGGATGGGGGTGGGGAGGTTTTTTCCCAAAAAATATCAAAAGGTCTTTGTTTCATCCCACTGCAGAACAGGAACTTTTTTTAAATCGTGAAAATTTTCATGGGAGGGGAGAAAATATTTTCAATCCAGCTCTATTTGACTTCACCTTCATTAAAAATATTTTATACTCTCAACTCTCCTTGCAGCAGCTATTTATGCAAGCTGAGCTCAGTGTTGGAGAGAGGACAGTGCCTTCCAAGGCTGTAACATTGCCCTAAAGCTAGCTGTTAGGAGATATTTAATAGCACTTAAAAACTGCACCATTTCTCAGAGGCACAAGGAACCAGTACATGTGGTCAGACTGACAGGACAGAGTACTGAGGTAGGGCTCTACAGCACTAAGTCCATAGTAATGCCAACAGAGCCTTGGGCAGGTCTATTTTATTAATGACTAAAATACCATTTTGATGGGTTGTTTTTCTGATAAGTATTCTGAGCGATAGGTTTCCACTTCTTGACAATGGTAGAATTCACCTTGGAGGATGAGCAATTTCATGTTAAAATCCCCAAAACAGTGAAAGAATTAACTGTTTGTATTAGTTGGTAATCTCATCTCATTTGATACAAAGTTGTAGAATGGTTACTTTAATTTCCCTGGGTATTCTTGTATTACAAGTCAGTCTAGGGCAGCCAGAGACCAAAAAGACAGTTAGCACTTCAGGGCAGGTATGTAGGAGGGATAGCTCAGTGGTTTGAGCATTGGCCTGCTAAACCCAGGGTTGTGAGTTCAATCCTTGAGGGGGCCATTTGGGATCTGGGGCAAAAATTGGGGATTGGTCCTGTTTTGAGCAGGGGGTTGGACTAGATGACCTCCTGAGGTCCCGTCCATCCCTGATATTCTATTATTTGTACAGTGCCAAAGTCTATGGGAGCTGCCTGGTGTTCAGTACATTTTAAAAAAGCAGGCTACTTATTTAGGTGCCTACCTATTGGCAAAGGAGTCTAACGGGGTACCCAATTTTGAAAATCTGGGTCACTTTGACACAGGATCCTGCCAAGCTTGAGACAAACTTACAGGCTCACAAAAAGGGATTCCCTTACACTGAAGGGTCGGGGAGCATCTTATACTGAACAAACGATCTCTTCTTCCATGATCATTTGTAGAAATGTTATACAGGGTTAACACAAACAAGATGTATACACTTAAAGAATTCTCACCAACTGAAGGGGAAAGGCTTTCCCAAAGCAAGCAAATTCACTATATAGACAGCTATTGTCCATACAGAGCATGTATACAGCTGCTGAAAAGTCCTTCCTCTCATTGTATACATCTGTTTTTATGAGATTAAAGAGATGAAGTGAAGCAGTGAGTTAAGTTCAGGAACATACTTTTGCTTGAGAATGCTTCTCCATCTTCCAGTCCTTCTGTATGATTAGCTGGCAGTGGAACAAAATTGGGATCTGCAATTGAGATTTGATAAATTGCATATTAATGGCACAGCCTGTTTTCCCCCTTCTGTAAGTTGTTTCACACAAGTCAACTACTCAAAACAGAAAGGATCTCTTTTCATTTTATACATATAGAAGCTGACCTTCAGCTGGTGTAAATTATGACAGCACTGTTAAAGGCAATGAAGCTATGTCAATTTACATGTTAAGGATCTGCCCCTTGTTGTCTGTGTTAATTAAATTCCACCTCTACCATGAAGCATTCCAGATATTAAACTATTCTGTCTACCCACTTGCCCAGTTACTGCACTCATCTTTGTAATATCACACGTCAGTCTGTATTGCTTTTTAATTGCTTGTACATTTAAATCCCATCCCAACCACACCCATATGAATAAAGACTCCAAGGTCAGACCTTTGGATTACAAGTTCCTCAGGGCAGTGAATCTTTTCCTGGACTGGAACAGTTACCTATTTTACAGTGCCACAAGCTTATAGCATTGCTTAAATAATAATAAAATCTCAGTGGATCTATTCTATTCATGATTTATTGACCTTTAAGAAATGAGCTAGGAAGGACAGTACACGGTTAACATTTAGTTCAAAAGCTTAGGTTGAAAATTGGACCTGCCTTATACATTTTAACAGTTTTGGAGGGAATGTCTGTGTGTTCTACATATATTTAAAATTTTTAAATCCCTACAAATTACTAGTGTTTTTTGGCTTCCACCAAATCTCTGCAAATTCCTTTTTATGACTACAGTTAACTAAAAATCCCTGCACAGTGTTGTTATCAGCTGTGACAGACCCAGACCAGTGGGGTACAGGAGTCTGGTAAAAGGCAAATATACTGGCTACTGATGAATAGTTTTCTGTTGCCTGAGTGACCAGAGCAGGGGTTCCCCTAGAGGAACCAGGAACCTGCTAGAACCAATTAAGACAGGCAAGCTAATTAAGACACCTGAAGCCAATTAAGAACTTACTAGAATCAATTATGCCAGGCAGGCTAATCAGGAAACCTGGTTTAAAAAGGACCTCCTATCAGTTAGTTGGGGAAGGGGACATGAAAGGAGCAGGGAGTGAGAAGGCATGCTGCTGGAGGACTGAGGAGTACAAGTGTGATCAGGCTTCAGGAGGAAGATCCTGCAGTGAGGATAAAGAAGGTGCTGGGGGAAGGCCATGGGGAAGTAGCCCAGGGAGTTGTAGCTGTCATGCAGCTGATACAGGAGACATTGTAGACAGCTGCTATCCACAGGGCCCTGGGCTGGAACCCGGTGTAGAGGGCGGACCCGGGTTCCCCCCACCCCCGCAACTCCTGATCGGACACAGGAGGAGTTGACCTGGTCTGTGAGAAACACCAGAAGGGAAGGTCTAATTTGGAAAGGGATCTGGCCTGTCCCCAACCCACTAGGTGGGACACAGAGACTGCAGGGATTGTTTTCCGTTTCCCCCATGCTGGCCAGTGATGAGGTTAGCTGAGTGAACGGCAGGTTTGAGCCTCTAGCAGAAATGGCCAAACTGAGAGCTGCCGTGAATCTCTGAGGCAAGCAAATCTGCCAAAAAAAAAAAAAGCAGGATCCACCAAGGCAGAGGAGGAACTTTGTCACACTGGTGCCAGGAGTGGGATCTGGTGCACCACGTGGCGGAAGAAGGAGGGTGTTTAGAAAAAAAAAAAAGGCATCCGCAGCTGTCTGAAAAGACCTACCCCAAGAAAAGAAACCCTTCGAACAGGTGAGGGCGTCTCCCGCTTTAACGCCAGACCAGAAGAATGAGGTGTCTGAGATGATCTTCTGGAACCAAGATGTGTTCTCGACAAAACTGGGTCGAACAACTGAGACATATCACCACATCATCACGAACCCTGGGGCCAGAATAACAATGAGGCCCTACCAGGTGCCAGCAGCCAAAAGAGAGGAAATAAAAGCAGAAGTAAAAAAAATGCTGGAGTTGGGGATCAGTGAAGAATCCCAGTCAGTGGTCCAGCCCAATCATGTTAGTGCCCAAACCTGATGGCACCACAAGGTTTTGCAATGACTTCCAGCGACTAAACGAAGTATCCCAGTTCAATGCGTACCCCATACCTTGCATAGATAAACTAGTAGACTGTATGGGCAATGCCCGGTACTTGACTACCCTAGACTTGACAAAGGGGTACTGGCAGATTCCCCTTGCTGAAGAAGCAAAAGAAAAGACTGCGTTCTCCACACCAGAAAGTCTTTTCCAATATACTGTCCTTCCTTTTGGACTACATGGGGCCCCAGCTACCTTCCAGCACCTCAAGGACAAGCTATTACGCCCCCAGAATCATTATGCTGCTGCCTACCTGGATGATGTGTTTCAGAGTAACAGCCGTGTTAGTCTGTATTCACAAAAAGAAAAGGAGTACTTGTGGCACCTTAGAGACTAACCAATTTATTTGAGCATAAGCTTTCGTGAGCTACAGCTCACTTCATCGGATGCATACTGTGGAAATATGCATCCGATGAAGTGAGCTGTAGCTCACAAAAGCTTATGCTCAAATAAATTGGTTAGTCTCTAAGGTGCCACTGGATGATGTGGTCATTCATACCCCAGACTGGGAAACCCACCTAGAGAAGGTGGAAGCAGTCCTCGATACCTTCAGGAGAGCTGGCCTTACAGCAAACCCTGCCAAGCGTGCCGTAGGGTTTACAGGGGCCAAATATTTTGGCTACATTGTGGGAAAAGGTCTGGTAAAACCCAACTGAATAAGTTAGAGGCCATCCAAAATTGGCCCCGACCAAGTCGCAAGAAACAAGTCTGGGCATTCCTAGGTGTGGTGGAGTATTACCGACTATTTATCCCACACTTTCCCACAAGGGCAAGCCCTCTGACAGACCTAGTGAAGGCCCGTGGACCTGATCTGGTGAGATGGTCTGACGCAGCAGAGAGAGCATTCACAGACCTACGGACTGCCCTCTGCAGTAACCCCATACTGATAGCCCCAGATTTCACCAAGGAATTTATCCTGCAGATGGATGCATCAGAAGTAGGGTTGCGGGCTGTCCTACCACAGATGGTCAGGGAGGAAGAACACTCAATTCTCTACCTCAGTAGGAAACTCCTTCCAAGGGAACAAAAATATGCAGTGGTGGAGAGAGAGTGCCTTGCTGTAAAATGGGCCATGGAAACGTTGCGCTACTACCTACTTGGGGGCAGATTTGTCCTCGTGACCGACCATGCCCCTCTTCAATGGATGCAGCAGAATAAGGAGAAGCACGCAAGGGTGACCAGGTGGTTCTTATCCCTCCAACCTTTCCAGTTCCATGTGCAACACGGAGCAGGGAGCCATCACAGCAACGCTGATGGTTTGTCACATGTGCACTGTCTGGCATCCCAAGCTTCCCAACCCCTTGGTGTTGAGCAGGGGGGAGGGATATCTGACAGACCCAGACCAGTGGGATACAGGAGTCTGGTAGAAGGCAAATATACTGGCCACTGGATGAATAGTTTTCTGTTCCCTGAGTGACTAGAGCAGGGGCTGCCCTAGAGGAGTCAAGAACCTGCTAGAACCAATTAAGACAGACAAGCTAATTAAGACACCTGGAGCCAATTAAGAACTTACTAGAATCAATTATGCTAGGCAGGCTAATCAGGACACCTGGTTTAAAAAGGACCTCCCATCAGTTAGTTGCAGGGGTGCGCAAGGAGCAGGGAGTGAGAAGGCGTGCTGCTGGAGGAGTGAAGAGTTCAAGCGTGACCAGGCTTCAGGAGGAAGATCCTGCAGTGAGGATAAAGAAGGTGCTGGGGGAAGACCATGGGGAAGTAGCCCAGGGAGTTGTAGCTGTCATGCAGCTGATACAGGAGACATTGTAGACAGCTGCTATCCACAGGGCCCTGGGCTGGAACCCGGTGTAGAGGGCGGGCCCGGGTTCCCCCCACCCCCACAACTCCTGATCGGACACAGGAGGAGTTGACCTGGTCTGTGAGAAGCACCAGAAGGGAAGGTCTAATTTGGAAAGGGATCTGGCCTGTCCCCAACCCACTAGGTGGGACACAGAGACTGCAGGGATTGTTCTCTGTTTCCCCCATGCTGGCCAGTGATGCGGTTAGCTGAGTAAATGGCAGGTTTGAGCCTCTAGCAGAAGTGGCCAGACTGAGGGCTGCCATGAACCTCTGAGGCAAGCATATCCGCCAAAAAAAACAAAAAACGCAGGACCCACCAAGGCAGAGGAGGAACTTTGTCACGTAGCCATAATACTGTTGTGCAAATGGGAAATTAAAGAGAGGGTAGCTGTGTTTAATCTCTTCTCTGTAACGCTCATTTACCAAACAAAATGCACTACATTTGATGGTATTTCTTCTAACAGTATAAATGAAAGAATGGCCAGTAGTATTATATGTTTCAAAATCTGCAGTGCTTTACAGAGGGCTAGATCTGCCCTCCAAAAAAAAAAAAAAATGCCAACTCCACAAAGGGAAAAAGAAACTCCATTTTAAATTACAGAATAGATGGACAAGTGAGTGAGATAAGGATTCACCTTCCTTGACTTGTTCTCACTGTGGCCTCCTTAATTACAAAGAGAAGTTGTCTAATAATAATAATAATATTGTAGTTTGGGCTTCTTGCTCCTTTTCTGAGCATGATCAACAAGCATTTTTGTATGCAGTGTTGTTGTAGCCATCTTGGTCCCAGGATATTAGCGACTAGGTGGGTGAGGTAATATTACCTAATCCACAATGCATTACTATGTCAACCAGGCAGCTGTCAGTTTCCCCTATTTTGTGGAGGGCAGCGAGTATAGGATCCACTAATTTTGTTTGGAATTGAATACATCATGATCTCTCTAGTAACTGATCTGCTGCTGTAAACTGACCTAGTCACCAGCCTTCACTTGGAATTTAGTCCTGGCAGGGTAGACTGCTGTAGGCTCAACTGAGGTAGAAATGTGGCAAACAGACCTTTCATCATGTGTGATGAGCATGACAGCAGGCTTCTAGATGACTGTTTGCAGCCATTTGGCTACTAATAATGTCAAACTAGCAGCAGATTAGGGGAATAGAAGTCCTGAGAAGATGAGCCATGTTAGTGGCCTCACATCTTAGACGTGTAACAGTCTTTTAAAAAAAAATATAGAAATCTAAAACAGAATGAAAGCCTTAACAGAAGGTCTAATGCAGAAAATAAAGTCCTGTTGCTCAGCTTAGATCTCTTGTTCCTAAGGGTATGTCTACACTATGAAATTAGGTCGATTTTATAGAAGTCGATTTTTAGAAACCAATTTTAAACAGTCGATTGTGTATGTCCACACTAAGCGCATAAGGTCTGCAGAGTGTCCTCACTACCGTGGCTAGCATCGACTTACAGAGGGGTGCACTGTGGGTAGCTATCCCACAGTTCCCGCAGTCTCCGCTGCCCATTGGAATTCTGGGTTAAGTTCCCAATGCCTGGTGGGGCAAAAACATTGTCGCAGGTGGTTTTGGGTAAATGTCGTCAGGCCCCCCTCCCTCCCTCCTTGAAAGCAATGGCAGACAATCGTTTCACACCTTTTTTCCTTGGTTACCTAAGGAGACGCCATACCACAGCAAGCACGGAGCCCGCTCAGCTCACCGTCACCGTATATCTCCTGGGTGCTGCTGGCAGATGTGGTACTGCATTGCTTCACAGCAGCAGCTCCTTCCCTTCGCAGCAGACAATGCAGTAGGACTGATAGCCGTCGTATGTCTCCTGGGTGCTCCTGGCAGACCTCGATGAGGTTGATCAGGGGTGCCTGGACAAACATCGCTATTCTATGTGCACCAAATGGGAGCCAGAGACTCCAGGTCATTCTCTTCTTTAAGTTTCATCTCATGGAGATTCAGTCCTGCCTGCAATATCATGCACACTGGAGGCTTCTGCCTCAGGCTGCTCTCCCAGCCAGCAGCACTGCGTGGTCGCACCTACCCCAGCCTACCCTTGCTCCCATGGCTCATGAAGCCTGGACAGTAGTAAGCGGGAGACATTTATGGCGGGGTGGGAGGTTAAGGCAAATAGCCTGGCATCTGATTTTGAGCACCCAGACACCAGGGCGATTAGAAGAGCACAGCAAGGTGCATTGCATATCAGAGAGGCTTTGAAAACCAGTTTCATGACTGGCCAGGCTTCAGTGTGACAGTTGTGTGTGTTTCTCCTTGATGCAAACCCGCCCCCTTTGTTGATTTTAATTCCCTGTAAGCCAACCACCCTCCCCCCTTTGAAATAAAGTAACTATTGTTTTGAAACCATGCATTCTTTCTTTATTAATTTAAAAAAGAGAGATATTGGACAAAGTAGCCCAGGTGGGGTGGGAGAGGAGGGAAGGACAAGGCCACATTGCTTATTGTAGCCACACTAAAAATCAAACTGTTTGAATGACAGCCTTCTATTGCTTGGGCCATCCTCTGCAGTAGAGTAGCTGGGTGCTCGGAGCCTCCCCCTCCGCATTCTTGGGCGTCTGGGTGAGGAGGCTATGGAACATGGGGAGGAGGGTAGGCAGTTATACAGTCGATGCAGCGGGGGTCTGTGCTCTTGTTGGCTTTCCTGAAGCTCCAACAGATGCTTCATGTCCGTTTGCTCCCCCATTAGCCTCAGCATCGCGTCCTGCCTCCACTCTTTGCGCTCACTTAATTCTTTCCTGGCCTCTGCCACTGAATGCCTCCATGCATCAAGCTGTGCCCTGTCAGTGTGGGAGGACTGCATGAGCTCGGAAAACATGTCATCGCAAGTGCGTTTTTTTCACTTTCTAATCTGTGATAACCTGAGGAACAGAGATGATACTGGGAGCATAGAAACATTCTACGCTCTACCATTCTGAGGGGACTGCATGGTCATCTGTGCTGCTGAGTGCTGGTGAGTTCGCCACGCTGACCAAACAGGAAATGAAATTCAAAAGTTTCTGGAGCTTTTCCTGCGTACCTGGCTAGTGCATCAGAGTTCAAAGTGCTGTCCAGAGCTGTCACAATGGAGCACTCTGGGATAACTCCTGGAGGCCAATACCATCAATTTGTGTCTGAACTACCCCAAATTCGACCCAGCAAGGTCGATTTTTGCGCTACTCCCCTTGTTGGGGAGCACAGAAGTCGATTTTAAGAGCCCTTCAGGTCGGCAGAACAGGGTTGGTTGCGTGGACACAGTCATTTTTAAATCGGCCTAACGTGGCTAAATTCGACCTAACCCCATAGTGTAGACCAGGTCTTATTATTTAAAAAAGAGAAGTTCTCCCTGCCCCTCCAAAACCCACCATGATTGGTGTCTAGTCTTAATTCTCACATTCACTTTTGAACTTTCCTTACCACGGTGTTCACAGTTCTCGCCAATATAACCAGGGCAGCATTTCCAGTGCAAAGAGTTTAAAACCTTCTGCTTCACACGATATACTGGCTTCAAAGTTGCCCTATACCTGGAAAATGAAAAACATGACACTAGGGACCTGATTCTCAACTGGTATAAATCTCCACCAGCTGAGAATATGGTCCTATATTGTACTAGATGGCTAGTACAAAAAATTAAGAAATCAAATAACAACAACATGCATCCATGCTGCTCAACAGAGCATTCTGACAGTAGTGAGAGTGCTCTTTTCCACCTCCATGAACTGTGATTTGATTTTCATATTTTTTTTTAAGTAAACCCCTCGCCACAGGCCTCTTGCAAAAAAGAAGTATCATTGTGATAGTTATAAAGGAGTCCAGTGTTAGCAACTGAATGTTAGTTTCCGTAGTGTCTTGCAAATGTAAAGCCAGTCACACTCAGAGGTGGAGATTACCATTTGTTAATTCGCAGAGCTCCAACAACTTGTTCCACTCTGTACAGTAGAACCTCAGAGTTAGGAATAGGGTGACCAGACAGCAAGTGTGAAAAATCGGGACAGGAGGTGGGGGAGAATAGGAGCCTATATAAGAAAAAGACCCAAAAATTGGGACTGTCCCATAAAATAGGGACATCTGGTCACCCTAGTTAGGAACACCTCAGGAATGAAGGTTGTTCATAACTCTCAAATGTTCATAACTGTGAACAAAACATTATGGCTGTTCTTTCAAAAGTTTACAACTGAACATTGATTTAATACAGCTTTGAAACTTTACTATGCAGAAGAAAAATGCTGCTTTCCCTTAATTTTTTTTAGTAGTTTACATTTAACACAATACTTTATTTGCCTTTCTTCCCCCCCCCCCCCCCCCCGCCCATATCTGCTACTGCCTGATTGTGTACTACAAATGAGGTGTGTGGTTGACTGGTCAGTTTGTAACTCTGGTGTTTGTAACTCTGAAGTTCTACTGTAATTGCTTCCACAAGTGTTGGAGTTAGACTAAATTCCAGAAGTGTTGTGGTCTCCTATATGGTGGCCTTAACGGGACCCACAATTGCAGTTTTTGTTATTGGTGTATCTATCAGAAACACCACTGAAGGGTTATACGTTCAGGTCCAAATTTCACTCAAAATCAAAATGCCAACTGGAATATCTTGTGACTTTTAAAAACAAATCATAATAGAAACTAATTTAAACAGACGTTCTACTGCCGTTTGCAGCACAACGCTAGTACCAGAGAAAATTTAAAACTGGCTTAAAACAGGCTATAAACAAACACAAAATTGGACAGTCTACTTTCATTGTTCAGAGCAATGGACAAATTAATGCATGAATAACTTACAAATAAGATTTTTTTTAAAATGTAATAAATTAATAACATGGGTGAGAATGTGTGGGTGAATATTAAGTGTATTATTTTTAACCAGAAAGTCTCTCTTTCAGCCAGTGTTTCCCCAAACACTGTCAAATGTACCAGTATTGGTACCTCAAGCTCTTGCCACTGTTCCTTGCACAGACATCATCTTCTCAGGAAATAGTACCCAATGCAATCTTAGGATCTAAACCTGCAGACACTTACACTGTGCTTAATTTTATGCATTGTGAGTAGTCTTATTGAAGACAATGGAGACATATTGCATAGAAATACGCATGTGTAAGAGTTTGCCATTAAGGATCAGGGTCTTAATGATCTCTGACTTCAGCCTTTCTTATCTGTGACTTCAGCCTTTCTTTGAATGTGTTTAAGCACAGATCAGTTCAGAATGCCTCAGTTCAGTTAGTGACTCCCTTAGTAGAGGACTCTTTCCTCAATTAATGATGCCTAAGCTATATCCAGATTACACACAAGCACATATGATTTAGGAGTACAAGTCCCAATTGGGTTTGAATGGGACTTGTGCTTCTACGGGTATGTCTTCTCTGCAAAACAAAGTACATTCTTAACCTGTGTTAGCTAACACAAGTTGAAATAGTAGTGAACACAAAGCAACTTGGCTTTTAATTTCAGTTAACAGCTTGTGTGAAAGCCTATAGAGGAGCCTGCGGTTGAATTTGAGCTGCTAGCCTGAGTTAAATGCTGAGTTGCCAAGTCTTCACTGTTACTTTAACACACATTGGCAAACCCAAGTTAAGAACACACTTTCTTTTGCAGTGAATACGTACGTTAAGTCACTTAAGAACTTTTGAAAATCTCACCCTGAATACGTAAAAGAAGAAGGTTTAGCTGCCTCCACTGGTTTTACTGAAGCCAACAAAGAAGCAGATAATGGGAACATTAAAAAAAATATTCCTTGGGTTCTCTAATTTTGAGGTATATAAAAAGGCAGGATGTTGGGGCTGCTTGTTTTATTTTACTGTAACACATTCTCCTAACCCATCAAGTTGGCCCTTTCACCCTTCTCTTTGATCCTTCCACTGGCTTCCAACCCTTTGCTATCACATCAAACAAACTGCTTTTTTCATTTTCAAGACCCTTCATGGTCAAACCCCACCCTACCTATCAACTGTTGATGCTCACTGCCAGTTGGCCTATGATGCAAGCCCCCACTGCCAACTTTTTCAATTTTCAAACAAACACCTTCATGCTTTCTCCTGTGCAGCCCCTCATGCTTGGGAGGCACTCTCTGTAAACACTGGCAAAGCTACCTCATTGCCCTCCATTCAAACCCCTCCTCAAAACTCTCATTTCTGTGACTAGTACAAAAAACTTGACAATGAGGAGGCTTCTGGTGTGCAGAGACTGGCCAATATTGCCTCACTGTTTACTTGAGCTCTGCCATCTGTCTATACCCAACTGTTGCCTCTTGGCTGATACTTGTAAGTTCCTTGGGACAGCCCATCTCTTTGTTTTGTGTTTGTACAGTGCCTAACGCAGCATGGTCCTGGACACTACCATAATACAAATAATAATACCACTAAGGATACTTACATGATTTTCTGGCAGTCTGGGGCTCCATTTGAACAAGGCTGCTGTGATTTAATCACATATTTCTCTTTCTTGCAGGCAGCTGTGTATGTCACCAGCTGGGACTTCATGAAGGAACACCAATGCCTGGGAGAGGAAAGCACAGGGAAGGAACTTGAAAGGAAAGATTTTAAAAATCCCTGTTGATAACAGCAATGCAAAGGAAGTGTGCCATTCAGAGGGGCCTCCTTTTCAAGCTGAAAGATGACAAGGGCCGGCTCTAGGCATCAGCAGAACAAGCAGGTGCTTGGGGCGGCACATTTCTAGGGGCAACATTCCGGCGCCGGCCCTGCCGCCCCTAGAAATGTGTCCCTGCCGCCCCAGCTCTGCCTCTGCCTGCTCGCCTGAGCGCCCCGCAGCCGCCGCTCTGCTTCTCCCCCCTCCCTCCCAGGCTTGCTGCGCACGAAACAGCTGTTTGGCGCGGCAAGCCTGAGGCTGGAGGGAGGAGAAGCCGGGTGGTGGCGCACGCCAGGGAGGGAGCGGAGGTGAGCTGGGGTGGGGAGTGGTTCCTCTATCCCCTCCCCTCCGCTTGCTCCCCTGAACGCGCTGCCTCTCCCTCGCCTGAGAGAGAGGGAGGGGGAAGAAGCGGAGCAGGCGGAGCGGAGGTGAGCTACGGCGAGGGGGAGCCGCAGGAAGCAGTGGGGGAAATGCTGCACGCCTAGGGGAGGGACAAAAAAAAAAAAGCTGCTTGGCCAAAATTTTTTTTGCTTGGGGCGGCAAAAATCCTAGAGCCGGCCCTGCCAGGGAAAATGGAAATTTCTGCCAAAGCTTTTCTTTGTACTTAATTTGCTTTGGTCTGGGATGGTAATGTGTATTAGTGTTCAATACAAAGAAGGAGTCTCTGAATTTTGGGACATTATCATGACCTTGAGCCATGTTTCCAACCCTCTCAATTTTGGTTTCAGTTTGCAGGCTCAAAGCTTTACCTGCAAGTATTTTATTGGCTGACTGAGGTCATTTAGACCTCAAATAACTTGACTGGCATGTTGAATCAGGTCGTTAGGCATCTAAATGGTATCAATTTTGGATATACAAGGGGAGACTGCTTCTGAAAATCTAAGGCCCTAGATAACTATAAACTCCACTAATAGACTGTTCCTAGACCATTATTTTGTTTAATGTTTGTCTTGTTTGATATTAATTACAGCAGGCTTGAAAAAATCCTCTCCCCAAGGGAAAATCATCTTAGAAAAGTGAGTACAGTATCATTTATTTTTTCAGTCTCATGGTCATTCTAAGGGTGGGCAAGTAGATTATGTTTCTGGACATCTACATTCTTATGATAATTTTACACAGCATGTCTCTATTTCCAAGGCTTTATAATCCACCCTGGACAGTTGCTCTGAACTGAAAATTTCATAGGTGAGGCCAATAACTAAATGTAACAACAAAAATGGAGGGGGCAGGGAAAAGGTCAAAGCGGGAAGGAAGAGGAATCAGTTTACACATGAACTTGAATAAGAAATTGAACTAACAACATCATCCTGGGAAAATCAGCTTGTAATTAGTGTTAAAATGGAAGCATGTTCAACATCCTAGTTCAGATAGCATTTATGCAAGAAGGTTCAGCAATTATTCAAACGGTAAGGGAACCAAGCAACAACACCACCAATTCAGTAATGAACAGAAATGGCACCATGTCAGTTTAGCGCTTGTAAAAAGGAGCAAGAGAGATAAGTGGGTCCCAAATGGCAAGGAAACTGGGCTCCCTGCCTAGCATTCTAGCTGTAATAATTTCCAGAGGAAGAGTCTATTGAACCAGCCGTAACATTTTACAGACCATATATCTATAGACAGTCTAGTGCCTTTTGTTTAATTAACACAGGTCTCCATCAATGTGGCTATTTCACATATCCAATGCCAGTTTTTCACCAAAAATAACACAAGAATATTACATGCAGTGTTAACTCCACAAGAACTGACTCACAAAGGCTAGGCTCTCTAAGCGTCCATTAACCAAACAGGCTGGAAAGTTGAGGAACTAAGAGGCTACTGTCTCAACAACCTAATGAACAGTGTCCCCCTAGGGAAGTATTTAAATCTGACTTTTCAATCTAAGATACAGTGTTTTGCAGATGCATTGTGGTACTCTGTCTCATGAAACTCGGCATTTATGACACAGGAATCACTTGGCGAAATTCTATGGGCCTGTGTTACCCAGGAGTTCTACATGATCCCAATGGTCCCATCTGGTCTTAAGATCTATGAAGTAACCTGTCTCCCAGTGGGCAGGTTACTTGAATTCTGCCTTTTGAACCATAAGAGTTGCAAATGAAACTTGACATGCTCAGGGGCAGAACTGTAACAATTCCTTTGAAACAGAGCCTCATCCATTGTTATTCACAGCATCACCTTCTGGAGATTAAGGTTGTTAGAAGATCAGTTTCAAACAGATTTGTGGTTTTCATCATTTCCTAGTGGATGAGTATTCCCATCAGAAAAAAACACCTCTACAAGTGACATTAATTAGCAATCTTGGGCCAAGTACCAAATGAGCCATGGAGCCTGAATTACCCTGTACTTTTAGAAGTGACTACTGTCATGCTGTCTGGAGTGACTCATAAGCAAGAATACCAACCTCAGGACAGACTGTTAAGAAGCAGGGCACAAACTCTAAACTGATTGTGAGTTGTATACTTAGAGTTCACCAATCAAGTAACAAGTGTAAACTGCTAAGCCACTATACAGCCTCAACATGGATTCACGGACAGTCTCCTGGGCATTCCAATCTTCCTTGCCACCTAGGCAAGCTTGACTCTGTGAAAGATGGTCACTTTACACCAAAGATCACAAAATATTCAGGTTACTTTCAGTCCCAAAGGACCAATAACTTACCCAGGTCAATTTGCACTCTAGAACTCACACCAAAGACAACACTTGTAGCTAATCCTATAGTAAACTAAGGATTAGCTCTGAAAAAGAAATAAGAGTATTTACCAGGTTAAAGCAGGTAACATACATACAAATGAGTTACAATATTCGGTTCCAAAAAATAACAGAAACTTCTATAATAAGCAAACTTTGTGTCCTTTAGGGCTAACCCAAGCTAAACTGTTAGAGACTCCTCACCCCTCAGAGTCCAGGCAGCAAAGGAATCATAATTTCTCTTTTAACAAGCCTTTTTATTCCCTTCCCCCAGAATTCAAACCGATGGGATAAGTGCCTCTGCACTTAACCTCTTCATGGGTGGATGGAGGGGAGCAATCAACAAAGTCTTTGTTCCACAATGGCCCATTTGGATTCAATAGTCTTTCCTGATGAGCAGGAGATAACACCTTCTGTAGGAATGCCCCATTTTGCATTAGGTGAAGTTTTTTTTTTCCTTTTTGGTGAGTTACATAGGCCATGTCTGCACTACAGAGTTTGTTGACAAAAGTGATGCCACTTTAATTAAAGCACTTTAATTAACATGCTGTTGCATGTCCACACTATGCTCCTTGTGTCGGCAGCGCACATGCACACGAGCAGCTCTTGCATTGACAAAGAGAGCAGTGCACTGTGGGTAGATACCTCACTGTGCAACTGGCTGCAGGGTGCTTTGGGAAGGGTTTTCTATGCCTCATGGGGCAGGTACAGCATCACATGATGCAGGTTTCTCAATCCCATTGTTCCATGGGCATCCTACTAGATTGCCAGCTGCTTTTCTATTGAAGTATGGGGGAGGGGAGAGGTGGAGAGTGTGTGTGGGGAGAGTGAGAAACAAAGTGTGTGTTGGGAAGTGTGTGAGAGACTGTGTGGGGAGAGTGTGTATATGTGAGAGAGACAGTGTGTGTTGGGGAAGTGTGTGGTGTGTGTTGGGGGACAGTGTGTTGGCATGCTGTCTCTCTAAGTTCAGACAGCAGCCTGAGCATCCAATCCTGCGGGAGGGGGGCAACAACCCCCCCAACCCCTGGCTCTGCACGGCAGAGCAGTCTCTCCCCTCCCTGCCCCTGCAGCAGCAGCTTGCTCTGCCTGCCTGCCGATTCCATATTAATGGTTCTATGATTCCGAGTTCTCCCATAGCTGCTCAGCTGCCAGGAGCAGCATCCTCAGCAGCTCTGTGAGCATTCCAGGCTGAGGAATGTCAAATCTTCCTGGAGCTTTGAAAGGGAAGGGGTGCATGGCTGCAGGGCAATTGAGTTCAAAACAGTGAGCAGAGTGGTCACGGTGGGTACTGTGGAATATTGAAGGAGGCCAGTTATGGTGACATAGCAAACAGCAACGTCTCCACTGACGCTTTGTCACTTTAACTTTGCTGCAAAAAGCTTTATGCCTCTCATCGAGGCAGTTTTATTTTTTCAGCAAAACACCAGAGTTTTGCCACCAAAAGTAGCTTTGTAGTGTGTGCACCTCCACTATTTTGTCAGCAAAAAATGCCTTTTGCCGACAAAACCGTGTAGTGTAGACAAGACCATAGTTTCAGAACAAACATTTTACAGCTATAGAGCAATTTTTTAAAAGGGCTCCAGAGGTGATCCCAGCAATTACAGGCCAGTAAGCCTGACTTCAGTACCAGGCAAACTGGTTGAAATGATAGTAAAGAACAAAATTGTCAAGACACATAGATGAACGTAATTTGTTGGGGAAGAGTCAACATGGTTTTTTTAAAGGGAAATCATGCCTCACCAATCTACTAGAATTCTTTGAGGAGGTCAACAAGCATGTGGACAAGGGGGATCCAGTGGATACAGTGCACTTAGATTTTCGAAAGCCTTTGACAAGGTCCCTCACCAAAGGCTGTTAAGCAAAGTAAGCTGTCATGGGATAAGAGGGAAAGTCCTCTCATGGATCAGTAACTGATTAAAAGATAGGAAACCAAGGGTAGAAATAAATGGTCAGTTTTCAGAATGGAGAGAGGTAAATAATGGTGTCCCCCAGGGGTCTGTACTGGGACCAGTCCTATTCAATATATTCATAAATGATCTGGAAAAGAGTGAGGTGGCAAAATTTGCAGATGGTACAAAACTACTCAAGAAGTTAAGTCCCAAGCAGACTGCAAAGAGCTACAACAGGATCTCACAAAACTGGGTGGGCAACAAAATGGCAGATGAAATTCAATGCTGATAAATGCAAAGGTAATGCACATTGGAAAACATAATCCCAACTAT